GATTGCAGGGGAGCTGACGCCCGCTCTTCGATCTAGATAGCCTAAACCCCTGGTACTTGCACCATGTAGCTAGAATTCACTCAACGTAACGTAGTGAAGTCGCCCGCGCACACAAATACAGTTTTGGTTAATAAAAGCTGACCTTAGGCAGGTTAGAATGTGTAGGGAACGCTTCGTTCAATGCAATATTAGCTCAGGTCTTCGCTTAATAGACTTCGTCAAACTAGGGTCAAATATCTTTTTCGCTGGGATGTTGAGATGGATGGTTGGGACGGCCGGATAGTTAGAATTATAGTTAGGGATAAATATGTATAAGGGTGAGGAGTAAATATCACTCGCACTGTTGTCCTCCATTGTGACTTCAAGCTGGGTTTGATAATTTACTTTTTCACGGTGATAGGGACGCAGTAGGAGAATGAATGGTGTAACGGTTCCTAGACATCTTGTCAGGGGATTGAAACTCTTTCTCTCCCGATCGACTTCTAGGTTATATTTTTACACTTGTGCATAGCTATTTATTTCATTGTTAATTGTCTTGGCGACAAAACCATGTTCATACACTTGTGATGTCATGCGGTAAAATGCAAGACATTTATCATGTATCAACTTGATCTTATATCATATTTACATACACCCTACTGTCGTGCAATCAAATGCAAGACGTTAACTTTTGTTTTTCTTTGTTATTGTGTTTGAGACATAAACCATATTGTCGTGCATTTAAACGCAAGGCATCTTATGTCCAGTGTCGTGCAAACAACTACTGCACTTTCTATTTATTACATTTTTGTTTTCTGTGTTATATTTTAGTGTTCCCCTTTTCCTTAAAGTTTGCTTCTGTATCAACTATCATTTCGTCAACTAACACTGTTTTTATTTTTTCAGATATCATCAAAGATGATGAACAAACATTAATTATTTTTAAGATTTTTTTCCGAATGATAACCTAATTCTACTAATCCAGCTTAATTAGTGAATCAAAATGAATTAACTTGATTTTTTTCCAATAATATGACATTCCGAAAATTGGGCTTATGGAGAACTTTAATTTGTACAAATATAGCAATCAATGTTCTTTGAAAAGTTTCATTGACGGAATATATATGTAATTTATTTCACTACTTCGTAAATAATTGAATTCGTAATTAAAATGTAATGCATTCATTGATTCAAAATACTGTATATGATGAATCTGAATCATGCTTAACGGAGATTCCTCACATAGAGGGAAGAAGCAGATGGGAGAAGATACAATTTACGCCTATCTGTGATCCTCTATTTGCGATATTTCCCTTCCTGATGTGTATTTTTACATTTCATTGGCCATTTTTTTACTATATTTTTTATATTTTAAGGCATCGTTAAATCGACGTTCGATGATGAGATCCCAGGATTGTCGGCGCGTGGTGGACGGAAGAATGCACAAGAAAGGTGCATTAAGGGTTAAATTAGCGCGGGCGGAAGTATGATGCCGACAAACCCGATGTTAAACATAAAGGATATTATAAATGTTGTGTTAGTGACTGAGGAACTCGAATCGTAGCGTATGAAACAACGCAATAGTGTGAGTTTCATTCCTATAATCAAACAAAATTTATTTATTTCAGGTGCTTTTTTAATAATTCAATCATGTGGAGAGTTGCAACATTTCAAGTTGAAACTGGACATCATGATTGAATACATCTCTAAATCGCTCAGGATGATTTGTTAACAATTGGTTTTCAATTATGCTGCAACGAGCTGCGACTTTACACGATTCTTTAGGAAGATTCTCCGTTTAAGTTGATTATGTTGATGGATTTTGTTGAACCCGGTTACGAAATGGGAGGATTTTATAAACCAAAAGTAACGAACGAGACATGGTCGCGTTAACCTCTTTTCAATGCCTATTTGTACACTTATTTACCTTTTTAACCATGTTCATTTTAATGTCTATCTTTGTCATTTTTGTATTGAAGTCGGCATCCAACCCTTTTTTACAGACTGGGTTTGACCGTTTTTTTACGTGATTTGTCTAACCGTTTTTTCTACAGGCCTTGTCTAACCGTTTTTCGCGAGCTGGGCCTAACTGTTTGTTCACAGGCTTGTCTAATCGTTTTTCGCGAGCTGGGCCTAACTGTTTCTTCACAGGCTTGTCTAACCGTTTTTTTTTTTGCGAGCTGGGCCTAACCGTTTTTTGCGAACTGGGCCTAACAGTTTTTTCGCGAACTGGGCCTAAACGTTTTTTGCGAACTGGGCCTAACCGTTTTTTCGCGAGCTGGCCTAACAGTTTTGGGCGAGCTGGGCCTAAACGTTTTTCGTGTGCTGGCTGTAACCATTTTTTTGCGGGTTGGCTCTAACCGTTTTTGCGGGTTTCTCTAACCGTTTTTTTTGCGGGTAGAGCCTAATCGTTTTTTTGCGAACTCTGAGCCTCGCCGTTTTTTGCGTGATGCGCCCAACCGTTTTTTTTGCACCAGCTGGGTCTAATCGTTTTTGGCAAGCTGGGTCGAATCGTTTATTTTTTGCAGTCTTTGTATAACCGTTTTTTTGGCTGCCTGCATCCGACCATTTTTGCAGGTCCGGTCTAACCGTTTTTACCATTTATTTTGCAGGCTGTGTCTACAACCTTTATTTTTCAGGGGCCGGGTCTAACCATTTTTGTTACCTGATGAATTTCCAATAGTTGACCACTTCATTTCGAGTTGACGGTATATGATGAAATTGTTGATATATATACCTACAATGAAAGGATCGTTGAATTGTTGATGAAGCACAGGGCATCGCTAATCGTCTGATAAAACTTATGTTGGTACTTCAATTTCAATTTGGTTTAGGTCAAAAAACTTCCTCGAGTGGTCACGTTGATAACTGTGAACGAATATTTGACTGTTGACTGAACGACTGTTGATTTATCTGCAATGAAATTGTACTTGAATTGTTAATAAACACGAGCATCACTGCTGGCCTTCTGAGAAAGCAAATATTCAATACTTTATAAACAACAAAACCAAGGCACACCCGTTCCGGGTCTGGCCTGAAATGTCTATCATTACGTTCGGGTCGGGCCTCTATCCATGATTTTTTATGAGGCGTTTCGGCCGTGATTTGGCCACGAGAGACCGTGGTCTGCAACAGAAGAAGCCTCATCAACACGACACATACTGTACTGAACTCTTGCAATGATAATTCAAAGAACTCCAAAATAAAATGTGGAATTTTGAGTTTGCTTCGGGCTTGGGTCTGCAAATCCAGTTAATTAGTCGGGCTCGGGTCAGGTTTAATACCCACGGGCCTGTGTCGGGCTGGAATTCTTGGGCCGATCTTACCTCTAAGGCACATATAAGAAGTGAATCGGAAACTTTTTGTCTTAAATTCTGGAAGTCATGATAATATATTATATTGATTAGAGCACTAACATGTAGCTCTAACAACCATTCGCTATAGTAGTTTGTTAAAATTGATTTTTTTTCCAACTTCAGAGAGAAGTTAGAACCGACATGAAGTTCTGTAGACTGTAGGCCAGGGATAGCGAACCTTCTTCGACGAATGGGTCAAAAATTATATTTTTATCACGGAACAGAAGAGTGTGAGTCACAAATAGTTAATCAATGTTAGTATCTATACGAAACTTGCTCCTGCATCCTATCTTTCAAATCTTATAAGCTTCGGTTGGTGTTGTGTAGCTTCGGGCTTTATTTATGCAGCACTTCAACCAGAGACTACTGGACTGTTAATGACACTCGATTTTATGAAATTCGTGTACAAAAACACGCATATTATGAATTACCCAAAAAACGTTTAGAATGATGCGGCAAATTATTTTGCGCGCCAAAGAGTTTGGAGGGAATTCCACTCTGATAGAGTTATATTTTTCGATTAGCTTTCAACCAGATTAAGGTACTTTCACATTGCCCCATTGTTGTTTCAGATTTCTAGGTCCTCATTTTGAGTCTAACAGATTTTGTTTCCTCCACGACATTGTAGGCGAGAAACTGATGAATGCGAAGTAGAATCTAGTTTTCGTATACCCTAAACTAAACTAAACAGTCTGCAGTGCCTTTTTAGTTCGTGTGAATGAACGCTGTAACACAGTGGTTCTCAACTTTTTACTGACCGCGTACCACTTTTATGTTTTTACCATGGCCGCATACCACCGACAAAACCGCTTTTGTGGCGGGGAACAATGGCACAAGAAACGCTCTATGGTAGTATTTTATGTGGCACTACATCCATTTTTAGAGCTTCGTGCACAGATTCAACGTATTAATTATATGCAGTAACAACGTAATAATTGCGTGCAAAATCACGAGAGAATTTGCGTCGTTTATCGTCGGCTCTAATCATCGTCACCACTGAATTATCGCAAACTCGGACAAATACACTTCGGTCGGCACTAGCCGCTATCCGGAACTGCCTAACCTAGTCTTCAAATTATTTAGACTCAAAAGTCAAGATTATTCCGATCAGCCAACACATACATCAGTCAGTAATAGTAACCTATTTATGATGTATCTAGGATCTATCAGGGTATCTCGACACGCGTCAACCACCCCTCCGAAGTCCGAACGCTCCCTTCGTTGCCAATGGTGATGCATTGTGGATGTAACACGTAAAACGGGCGAAAATATGCCCGTCTCGTTTCTTTTTAGGTGGGCAGTAGCGGGCGAGAACGCTCATTAAAGAGAAGGACTGGTAACGCTATAAACTATTCAGCGAATACATTCAATAATGGGAGATAAATAGAAAGCGTGTCTGCCATATTTTAGCCACCTCAAAAGTCGGTTATTGCAATAATTCAAACCACTTAAGCCCCTCGTACCACAGGTTGAGAACCACTGCTGTAACGAGACTTTGCGAGAAATGAACAGATCAAATTGATTGTTTTGTCATAAACGATATCACAGCCAATAGCTGCTTAGAGGTATACAGGGGTGAACACGTGCGTCCAAGATTGGGAGTTCTGAAAATTACCATACCGATCCGGAAATTTGAATTTGAGCGTTCGCAGGTCTGGCTGCCCAACTGACGTTACATTATGTAGTTTACTTACTGTTAAATTTGTTTTCGAAGCCGGTTTTATCAATTTTTATCACTTACAAGTTAGTATGTTTTTAAATCATTCGTGCCTTGGCGGGTCACCGACAAAACGCGGTGGGTCACTTTGTGACCCGCGGGTCAGTGGTTCGCCATCCCTGCTAGGCCATGTCAACAGACGTTGCATAAGTTCAATTCCGATTATAATTACCTAAAGGAGTGAAGTCCCGTAAACGTCATTAATGCCTTTTTATGAACAAAAACATTTTTCACGTTAAGGCTGAGCGTATAACAAAATACGACGAGAATAACAAACAAATAGTTGTCTTCATAAAGTTTCCACGTCGGGTAATCAACAACAATCATTGGTCACTGATCACGGTGAGAAAGAGATTACAGTTTCTTTATTATGAATGACAACTCCTCTCCTTGTTTCTCTTTTTGATTTTACTCCTTTTTCTTCTCGTTCGACCTTAGAAAAATATTTGGCGCGCGTGCCACATTTCAGTTCAGGGCGTGGTAGCGTAAGTTCGTCTCTGCGTACGCAGTTTAAGGCAGGAAAGGTGAGGATTAAGTTAAGTCGAGGCGCAGTTTTTACCACTTCATGGCAGCTCCTGCCACGAACGAACCGCGCAGCTCTGGCCATGTTTTTTAGCGCTATTCAGGTATCGGTATTAACGGTATATTCACGAACTAATGTACCAGATTTTAATTGATCACGCGGAATTATATCTACTCAAACCCTAACCCCAAATCCATCAAAACTGTATTTATAAGAAGAACGTTTAAACTTGCCCAATATTTGTTACCATAAGGGACAGCGCTGTCTTTACGGCCCACCTGCCGTGGTTACGGCAGCAAAATTTTACCTGTCATTTGTTTTAAATTTGCTGCCGCGGTAACGGCAGCTCGTCATCGGTTTGTGGCAGGTAAAAAGTCAGTCGCCATAGGTTTGGCCGTAGCGGCCATGTTATGGAAATACCGCCATGGTTTTGCGACAGCTGCAGACGCCACAGAATACTTAAAACTGCACTTGAATGAGTCAGTTAGTTTATTCTCATTCTACATTCTCATTCTTTTTTAGACTAAGCTAGAGCTTGAAAATTTACAAGTAATAATCTATTCCGATACGATTAGGTAGCACATTTTTACAGTCATATTCTGAATTTTAAGCGTTTTTATGATGAATATAAATTTCAGCATGGTGTCTTTTCTTATATATATACCTTTCGATTGCATTTATTTACGCGTTTTTGTAATGTTATTCTTTATGGATCAAATCTTGTTTTCTAGTTAAATTTGTTGTAAGTTGTAATCCGGGTTAAAAAGTGTTATTGTTTATCATTTTCCTACTTTGCACAACAACTTTGTATCATCGCTAAAAAGTAAGTCACAACTATTATTTTTAAATTAACAGGCTTAAAGGTGAAGAAAAAGTCGACCGACATATATGATGTTGTCACGGCTGATGGTGGAATAAGTAATCGTTGTAAATGGAAAGGTAGGTAGTTTTATAAAAATGTTGCAACATCTGACATTTATAGTTTTATCATAACTCGATTATGAAGCAAATGTTTTATAATTTTCTATCTGATTACAGGGCTTTGCGAAGAATCAAGATATTCTTACAGCTGGTGGCCGAGTGACAATTGATCGGTGTAAATGGACAGGTGGGTCGGGGATGTTTTCTTCTATTTTATGAAAAATAACTTTATTGGAAGCACAGGCGTATATATATGGTTTTGCGTTTTTCCATGAATTTTATTCTCGTTTTTCGATGTGAACGATCGTAACCATAATTTGTTCTACACAAACAAAGTTGGTATAGAAATACAGCACCAAATAATTCTTTCTACCAACTTTTTACACCACTATGTTATTGAGTGTTACAATTGCAAACGCTGAAAAACATTATTATACTGTTATTAAAATTCTTATGTCTCACACCAAAATATTTTTACACCAAATGCATCTTTTATATAGCAGGCGTACGAATACAAAATGAGTTTCTGAAGAAAACAAGATAGCAATACTCAAATATATGGAGACGAAGTCGGAACGAAATATCCCACTCGCATATTTTCCAAATATCGTATTCTTATCGAATCTCGCGATAGCTACAATTGGTGACTTCTAAATCGATGTATCTATTATACTGCGTGTTGGGTGTCGACGTATTACTGTGATCCACTAAATATCGCAGAAAGAGTGCCACCTTTCCAACTGAGATTAAATCAGACGTTTTTTGGTATTTTTTATTCATGTATTATCGTTATGTGAAGTTTGATAAATTGCTCACTGGGAATTTTCGGAACTTAGATCCCTACTCACTCACGACTGTCTTTGGAGTCGAATGCGGTAAATTTTTGCTGTCGAATCCCAAGTGATTCTTTTTCGAAGTGTTATTCAATCCCAAGAATAGGATATTATAATCTAATATTTTTTATTATAGAATCTGTAAGTGTAATTTGGGTAGCAATTTTAGTCCAGAAGTTAAAATGTTAAAATCATTCTGAGCGGTCGTGTGAAAGCACCATGTTAAATCAGTTTTATATATTTCAGGTACTTTCTGGACGAAACTGGAAAGATATTTATCTCAAAAGAAGCAGACGTAGGATGGCAGTTTCATCTTGATAGCGCGAGTGTTTAAGAATTGTACAATCTGTATTTTCATTTTTTTTGAATTATAGCTCATTACCCGGGTTTTAGGTCAGCGCTTGCTTAGCCGATCCTGATATTCACCCCACGACAGATTACCAACGTGGGCTATGGTGGGTAATGGTTTGGGATAGTATTGATTATCACCTCTTTGGACTGTCGTCTAAAACTAGTAAACTCTCTTTAAATTGTGACTGCAATGCGGCACGTCTTATTTGGTGTAGCTTATATTAGTGTTAATTGGCCACTAATTGGACTGAAAAGTGGATTTATAATAAGTATATCCTAATTTCTCTTTGTAAACGAGATTTTTTTTTGAATAAGGTATGTTGTGAGTCTTCAAAGAAACGCAGCTTATGCTCTGTCTCAAATTTCGTTCTGTGCCGGAATCTTTGCAGTTTGTGTTATTTTAAGTTTGATTCCTTTTTCTCAATGGATGTTTGATAAATATAACCAATGTGAATACTTCCATGCTGGCTCTGCGTGTGGATTGGTTTGTCAGGTTTTGAATAGGTATTGCTTTTGATAAACTATAGCGATCATCTTGGTGTAGAAAGGGCGGGTGATATGTATGACGTCATTAAAATATGACGTCACACCGAGTAGCGGCATTTTGGGGCAGGCCGGCGCTGAAACGGTGCGTAAATTTTAATCTCTGGCCGACCAATGGCCATATATAAATCGAGTATAATTACAAAAATTTATCTACAATCATGCTTGCTCATACATGACCCGGATGAAAATTTCAGAAATCTACTTTTTCCAAGTTCTGAACCCTTCGATTTTCTTCATTTTCGCGTATTCTTGAGTCTTTCAGATCAAAGCCTTCTTTGTATTTTAGATATCTGCGTCATCCAATTAGTGATGACACGAAATTGATAGGATATATTTAGTTAGCGGGATTCCAACTTTCGCCACCAGGAACAAATGAAAGGTATTTCAACCGCCTTTACCAACTTGGCCAAGGAGGAACTTGTGATCGATGATCTAAGTTCTAATTAATATTCATCAATTATCTTAAATGACTTACTAATTTTTTTTACAAGTCGCTTGAGATGATAAATAAATATTAGAACTTGGATCTTTGTCCATGAGTTCTGAAGTGGCCTAGCTGGTAAAGGCGCTGTGTAAATAATAAATTTGTTCACGGCGACCAAAGTTTGAGTCCCGCGAGTGTGTAACATCAGCTTTTCAAGTGTATGTCGTCACTGGGAGGTTGACTCAAAGAACAAGATTGCGAATGAAACTCTAGTAGTGAGACGATAAAAAACCCAAAATGAAGGAAATCGAAGGGTCAGTCAGACCTTGGAAAATAGTGAATTTCGACATTTTCATTCAGATCATGTATGATCAAGCATGATCGTGGATAATTTTTACCAATTATACTCGATTTATTTATGGCCAATGGTCGGCCAGAGATAAAAAAAAATTGCGTCGTTTCGGCCCGGATCCGCTGCCAGCGGGCCCCAAATAACCGCTGCTCGGCCGTGACGTCATAAACAGGTGACGTCATACCGTTACACAAGCACAAAATCGCGGCGCGCCCTGTACTAGAGTAGAGACATTTCAACTTCTCCACAGCTCTAGTGACCTAATATTTCTCAACAAAACCCATATCCCGACAACCCAAAAGCATCTAGAAAAGGATATTGCTTGAATAATTTTATTATTCCTTTAGCACGAGAATAAAAGAGGAAAAAATATATTGCGAGACATTCAGCTTACTTACTTTCACCAAGTGCAAGACTATAAAAAATATAATCTGGAGAATTTACACTTAAAATAACAACACATTCAGTGCCTAGAAAATTGTAGAATAGGTTTCGAGTTACTAATTGGAACGCAGGTACGGATAGTATTAGAAAGAGCGGCAATAAGATTCCAAAATTTCCTGCCATGATCAGACACTGGCCAGACGCGAAATGAATTATTAAATTCTGGGTAGATACCCGGGTCCCAGTGGCATACCTACGGCATGAGAGCTATGGGCATAACCTAATAAAATTTAACTTTTAAATCGGAAACAATTAATCAAACTAGTTTTTTTTTAAATACTGTTAAATACGTTAAATTTGATAAAGAACTGGTTAATTTCTTAAAAAATGTGATCGAACTAGAAATTAAGCTCGTATTCACTTATAACGTTAAATGTATCTCAAATAAACGAACAGTCGTTAAAAATTGTCAAGTCACCGATCAATGGGGCGCATTTTTAAACTTTGCCATGGGCTTCTTTTCACGTAGATACGTCACTGCTGGGGCATGCATTGATATTTGACAAACATGGGTGCATGGATTGCTATAAAAAAATTGAAATACATGATTCATATCTTAAAATACTATTAAGATGGAACGGCCATTTCTTGGTGTTGTTGATCTCTTCTTTGACCTTGCAATCCACAACGCAACTAAAATACAAAAAAGAGATTGGACATTGTTCGTTTAAGGTAATACGATTAAACTATAAAATACATATATAATTCGTTTGAGAGCGATGCTTGAATATATGGACTAGAGATGTACCGATGTATCGGTATCGGGTATCGGTATCGGCAATATCGGCCATTTTTCCGGTATCGGCCAAGTATCGGTATCGGTTAGATTAATGCCGATATTTCCGATATATTTAACTTTTTGATATGGTCCAGAATGTTTTAAAAGATAAGTTGGAATACTACTTTTTAATTTATTTTTTGTCTCGAGAGATCGTGAGCTATGAGCCATACATGTCCCCACCCTTGCGAGAGAATAGGATGCACGTGTTTTTAGCTATTTATCAGCCAAACTAGCTCATCTAATTTGGCTATTTTCGCTGTCAAATTTTGATATTGACATTTATAATATTACATAGTAATTATGAAGAAATATAGACTGTTTGTCGTCAAGTACGAGTGTCATTTAGTCCGTCGACATCGATAAACTAAATTCCGACACAATTATCCCTCTACGCAGGTATTAATTTTAATTTTTTTAACTACACAATACCTTTATAGATATATTGACATGACCGCCTAGCCCTAGACTGTCTCAAAATATATGATAGCAATCGTATAATAATATAAAATAGTAAAGTAAAAAACATCCTCGACGGTTATAGGCAGGCCTTCTTTTGGTCGGTGCTGATTGATATTCTTTCATGTTGGCTTTGACTTATTGCGTCGACGATTTAGATTAGCCACGAAATAAAATATTTGTAAAATGCTTTTAATTTGAACGTAGGGCGGCGGCGCTAGAATGTGTGGGTGATATTCGATATTTTTTTAAACACGAATAACGATATTCGAAGGTCGCGATAATAACATTAAATTCAAATTGGACATCCCGGCTTATGAGTTTTCTAATTGAACACCGAGATTACTAGCGTTACTGTGCAATGTATCTTAATCAGTTAAAGCATATGGATACTAAACATTAATTTCATATTATGTGATATCTTTTTTATCGATCTGAAATAATGTGTACTATGAATAACGCTCAAAAACCATTGTTTTAACCCGTCTGCCCTACACAGCACACCTAATTAAGTAATAATTACATAGTATCGGTATCGGAATATCGGTAATATCGGCATTTTTGTAGTATCGGCGTATCGGTATCGGCGTTTTTGGCTGGTATCGGATCGGTATCGGTGACAAAAGTGGTATCGGTACATCTCTAATATGGACACGAAAACCAAAACTAAGTTGCTTTGATGACGTCAACCTCACAAGGTGCGAAATTTTAATTTTGATATGTTAACTGCATCGCACAAACGAATTAAGAGCTCACTTGAATTTCTGAAAATTAAATTCGTTTAGTAGGTAATAGAGGAGATTGTTTTCACAACAACAAGACGATGTGTATGTCCACATATGCTTGGACGACTTTAACCGCATATGAAAATCGCAACTACAGTTTATTTCCGTAGGTGTAGAATAGAATATTCGGAGAAAAAGCAGCAATGAACGAGGCAAAAAAATGCGATTTATTTTGTTGGAAGAATATTAGCTCACAAATATCATCGAGTCATTGACGTGGCTTAAGTTACTTATTTATCACACGGGTTTTAACTGGAATAAGGAATAATAACTTGTAAACTCGTCATAATCTAGCCACCGTGAACTGAATCTGATGACCCGTGAACTGGATTTTAGAACTTCTTTCAACAATGGCAAACGTGCTTTAACACTTAGAGTACACGAGACTGCTTATTAAATGACACGACATTCGGAATTCACAGCTATGGGAGACTATTTTAATATTCTAGATAAAAAACAATCGTCTTCTCCGCGCAGTTATAAAATTACCTAAATCAAGAGACGATTCGTGAGATCCGTCGTCGCGTGAGATCAGGACAGAATCTGTATATGATAAAATGAAAGTTAGATATCGGTCTTTAATAGGAATAGTTGCTGATCGTAAAGAGCAGTTTAGAGTGTAGACAACTTTTTAAGGATTCGTTAAGCCAATTAAGAATATAACTGTTAGATTTAATCATTATTTTGGATATCCACGTTCCTTTTACGTATTTTAATGTGTTTTTATACTTTCGCCTTATAATTTGTTATATGCAGATTAGTTATTTTGAGGCGGAGCGCGAGACAAATTATAAAAAGGGCGCGGATCAAAAAGTTTGGTTCGTTGGGAGAATTTTATATATATACGTATATGCTTGAGTAATTACTGAACTCGACATCGCACTCAAATCTATCTTATGGACTGAATTTGGCCTACTTGGAGGGTAAAATGGCGGTCAAGAAATTATAGTCGAAAATTTACTTCAACCTCACAAGAAAAACAAAAATTTGATTTACTTTTGAGGACGAATTTGCGAGCAAGAAATTCTACAGTCAAAAATTTATTTCAAACTAACAAGAAAAACAAAGCAAGGTGCGTGTAAACTCGTCACATTGCACAATTCCGCATTAGATAACTAACAAAAACTCAACAAGTCACGAGAATCGTTAAATACTCTGGTATGTTTCAACCATGTTGGGGTAAGTTATGTTGGATAGGATTTCTGGACTCGAGGTGGTTTACGTAACAGCTGGTCGGTTATAGTTACTTCCGCTATCGAGTTCATGCATCCAAAACTAAAACTGGTTAACTATTCCCATACCCGACATGTACTGGTAGCCGTACGAGAGGGACGTCTTATCGGAAGAAATTGTCGAGTCAGAAATATCCCAGCAGAATTGAAAAAAAAACTACTCAATGATTTCAGCCAGATCAGAGAAGAAACATATACACCTTGCATATACCTTTCGCTTGCATTGAATACTTTCAAGCACTGATTGACAATTTCTGAAGTAAAATAAAACCACTGCATTAACATTGTACGTTGAAATCTTTTGAAGGTAATTTTAATTTATATTGTTTAATCCATACTTGTTTTTGTTTCAGACGTAGCGAAATACTACATTGATTTCATAAACAGTTTTCAGCTTGCATTAAATACATTAAGGACTAATTGCACACTGCGATTTCGGTAACATAAACATCGGATTCTGAATATGCACGTTAAATATTATTTGAAAAAAAATTAATTCTGAAGTTTGTTTTAAAAATGAATCATGATGCGAAACGCAACAAAATATAATTACTTACATATTTTCTTATATTTAAGACTCCTCTTGCTTCCCAAATGAAAACGTGAAGAAATTCAATCACAGATTCCAAGTTTCTGAAATATAAACAAAAAGCTCGTTATTATATCATGGTGATAAACGGCAAACAAGTTTTATGGGGGAGACAGTAGCATGAAACAAGCAACAGTGCAGCAAATTACTTGTGAGGCAGAGATGCTCAAATATATAGAAACAAAGGCCAAAATGAATAGTCCGTGTATGCAATTTGCCACAGCAGACTATCGCCACAAGGACGTCATCGCACGAATCCCATAAGCCCAGAGAAATATTAAAAATAAATAAAATTAATTGTCGTTAAGCGGAAAATACAATGTCCATCAGGCGTCGCATGGCCTGAGTCCATGTTTAACGATTGTGTTGATGGTAACTTACTTACATCTACCATGTCCAGTTATGCTAACGATCGACTTTTATCCACTTTCGTCTGCACGTGTATATTACTGCAACATAAAATTGAAAGGGTAATTCAGTAGTGGAAAACTTCGCAATTGCTATAAGACGTGAAATAGGGCCTTGCGTACTTCTTACGAAGGGCAAATTACTTATTGCGTAATACGTTTTTTTCTTACTTATCGCTTTCATTAAAACCCTTCTACAGCCTTCTGTACTTTTTTTATAGTTTTTAAATTTCGGTACTTATAGGGTCAATATCGCTCTTAGCTGTTTATCGACGTAATGCCCTGATATGAGAGAAGCGATAAAACCTTCCAGCCGTGACGCAAAGTGCGAATCGTATAAATATCCTGGATTTCAAAATCACCTGTCAGACGTCTAAAAAATGTGACTCAGCTCAGACAGGAAATACTCCTTTATAACGACTTATTACTTATCGATCTTAAGATCGGTAAGTATATTGATAGGTATTTGTATGTATGTCTGTGTGTGTGTGTGTGTGTGTGTGTGTGTGTGTGTCTGTTAGATGAACGCGATATCTCACGAACGCGTGGTTGAATCTGCTCCAAATTTTGCATGTGCATGCACCTTACCTCGGACCAGACGCCTATCGATTTTGGGTTAATTATGTCGTATAATTAGCGAGTTATTAACTAATTACCGATCTAAGATCGATAAGTCTTCGGTCTCCGACCGATATTCTCGTTATTGTTTTAGCATGTATTTTCAGTCATACTAACTATCCCTGACCATCCCTGGCGCTGTGTTGTTTTGATAAATATGATTTCGAATGCTCCATAGTCGGCAGAGGTATGGAAATTTTTTGTATGTAAAAAAAACGTAAAATTAATGGTAATTTTAACGCGTAAATGCGCGTATGAGATTGTTTACGCCGTTCTACGCGCATTTCCGTCGAAAAAATTTAATTTTTTTGCATTGGGGGTGGTCTGTGCAGTAATAATAAGAGCTGTGACGTCATCAGTATCGGTAATTTGACCTTGAACTTGACAATACTGTAAATACAATTGTGAATTTCAGAGTGATAACCATTTATGCTATAATAGTCGTTTTGGTATTGTTATGTTAGGAAAAACTTGACGAAAACGTTGAAGAAAAAATTAATTAATTAGGAATTAATTATTAACCCTCTACTGTACACAGAATATCTGAAAGTCCAATTTTTTTTTAGAAATTTTTGAAATTTTTTTGCAAAAATTTTTTTCGAGGGGTGTGTTTTAAAGATATATTGCTGAATAGAACTCTAGCAGACGCTTTTAAAAACCCATGAGTAAAGCTTTAGGGCTTAATGGTTGACATAAAAAAATAAGTTTAAAAATACCCATAAAATGGGCAGGGCTTGAGGTTGTATTGGGTTAAGAAAAAAAATCGCTATGGTTGATGGAACTATTACAAGGGTATTGGTTTTACAATATAAGAAAGTTGGAAGAATGGACGACTTTAATAGGACTGCAGATGCACATCCATCAATAGCAATCTAATACTTCATACTTAACTGAATATATATTCGTTCAACCGCCTTTCCTCCATCTGATCCCAGATGCCCACAATTCCAGAATTTCTGATCTTATTCCACCCCAAATAAATAAATTTATGCCTAATATTATTCTAACTGCATAAGTAAACGTATAACTATAAAAAAAAACATATATCGCCTGCAAAGAAACGAGAGCTGTAAAGAAAGCCAGATCATTTCTCAGATGGGGGTTAGGATTGTGGCACTAAACTTTACCAGACCCCAACAAATGTACGTTCCTCAGCGCAAGAGCCCATTAGTATAAAACCTTCATATGTAATCAGATTTATGTAAAGTGAATTACATTAAGACAATACAATGACACTTACGAAATCATAAAACTTCCAGGACTACAGTATATATGTATTATATTGCCCGCGCTTGTGCACTTATGGCGTTAAATGAATTAGCAGTTACCTTATCAATCCTTGATCGTCTCCCGTGAGCCTTCAATTCGTGAATTTGACAACAATCATCGCCATAATACCATGTTACGGCCTAACTAATATTATTTATTTTATAGTTAGTAGTCATCCAGTCATTGTAACTTTTATTTTCGTTCCACTTCAAAATGTCCACTTCGTTGACATTTGAATCAACAATTGTAAGCATAAACATAGTCTTAACTAACTGCATTAGTATGGCTGTAAAAGACTCAGAAATACGGTTGTAAAGAAAAACGCTAGATTATGAGAGAATGAACATAACACATGAGAAACAGATAAAAAGCCAAAAATAAAAAGCAAATAAAATCCCCCGTACTATATCCGGAACATCTCTGCACAACCGCATCTTCGCCGGGTTTTCAATTCAACAACGATGTAGATCTTGCATATGAAATGGTTCAAACATCTTTGCGCAACCATATCTTCCCCGGGTTTTTGCACAAATTCTCTCTTCAATATCAGATTAGTGCTATATTATGGCCTAACTGAAATTCCTAATTTACTGAATATTTATTTAATAGTAGCTTCTGTTCCGCTCTAGCAGTTCCCGATGTCAACATTAGCAGCTTGTTTACATCCCAGACATCCAGTCAGTTCGCATAACACGATCTGAAATATATTATTTAGATAAGATGCAACATATAAAATGAAAAAAAAAAATAACATGAGAGAAAAGAAAAAATAGGGTAGGAATTTAACCAAAACGTAAATAAAGTTTTACTTATTCCAACTTGAATGTTCTCTTGACGATCGCCTCCATTTGTTTACGCCGTCGTCTTTAATTCAATAATTACATACCAGAATCATTTAGTAGTACGCTACGACCTGAATGAAGAATAAAGTTTATCTCTAATAATCATGGCATCTTCCGATTAGGATTTCATCTCACCAATTTCATAACGTGTAATCAAAATTCCACTTTGTAGACATTTGAATAAGTAGTATATATAGGCCCAAGTTTGGTCTAATTGGATAGCTTTAACAATCTTAAAATGTCTGTAAGGTAATACAGGCGTTGGGCTAGCGAAACAATGATGCACATGAACCACTAAACGTAAAAAAATCTGGAAAATAAAATCAGCGCTTACCCGACGGCGTCAAATTTGAAAAGACCGCCTCGGCACAGACAAATATTGACGTGGCAAGAAAAAAGTGTGATTATAATAAAGAAACCAAGAGCGGAGGAGATCGCGAACTGAAGATGCCTTTTCATTGGTTATTAGGAATCACATGACTACTTGACGTAAGAAAAAGGCAAAACAACTAAAAAATAAGGTAATAAGAAAAACAAAGCGAGGTGCGAGAGGAAACGATGCTGATAATTTTACTTTAGGGTGAGATTATTCTGACAAGCCATGCCTGAACGCCTTTATATGGTGACAATTGCACAATGCGATTTCGGTAACACAAACATCGGATTCTGATTATGCCCGTTAAATAATAAGCGAAAAAAAATGAATTTTAAAGTTTCGGTTTTAAAAATAAATCATGATTTGACACGAGAAAATATAATGACTTACTTACTGAAATATAAACAAAAAGCTCGTTATAATATCATGGTGGAAAACGGCAAACAGAGTTTTATGGGGGAGACAGCAGTATATTACAGCATATTACTTATGAGAGAGCGATGCTTTATATATATATATATATATATATATATATAGCGACACGAAAGCCAAAACGAGTAGCCCGTGTATGCAATACGTCACAGCAGACTACCGCCACAAGGTTTGTAATTTTTATCGTTGATGACGTCATCGCAAAAATACAAATCCTATAAGCCCACAGAAATTTGAGAAATAAATAAAATTTATAGTCGTTAAGCGGAAAATGCAATCTGGACACACCGGAAATTTGAAGCAATTGGTCCAGTAGTTGATGAGAAGAGCGATTTTTTATAACAATATATTACCATGGAAATGGACACGAACAAGAAAACTAACAACATAATAACATGGCGATCCATATGTAAATTTCGTGTACAATCATATTGAAACAAATAACCAATGGTTACTCATCTCCATCAGTCGTCACATGAACTGAGTTGATACAAACTCACTTTCAGATACCATGTCCAGTGATGTGGAAAATTCGCCTCCAATCAAATTTTGTCTGATCGTGCAACAGAAAATTGAAAGGATAATTTAGTTGCGGAAAATGCAATTTTTTTTGCTGTAAGGCCTACTTCTTGCAAAGGGCAAATTATTCATCGCGTTACGGTTTATTTTTCTATCTTACGTTAAGACTTCATCAACGAAAGTAATCGCAATGGTTGATGGAAATCTTACAAGAGTATTGGTTTAATAATACAAAAATGTTTGCGTGATAGCCCACCTTTAACAGTTAACAAGAAACGACCAATCTAATCTAATACTTCATACCTAACTGAATGAATCTTCATCTAACCGCATTTCCCCCAACAGATCTAGATGCCAACAATTCCAAACTTTGTGGTCCAATTCCACCTCGAATCAATAATTTTAGGCCTGATATTAGTCTAACTGTATGACTAAGCATAACTGTAAAATCATAAAATTGCAAGATAACGAGAAGACTGGTAATGAAGCCAGATCTTTTATCAATTTTGATCGCACCACATTGGGCAAGTGTTCATGTGTTGCCCAGAAATTAAATGGTGCGAATGAATATCGAATTAAACAATTACGACCAGGCCAATATAGATTTATAAAAACAGCGAAATATAATTGATTCCGTACTTCTGAGATATTTTGAAAATCAAGTAAGTCTTCCCCAGTCAAATTTTGCCAAATCCGATCATCACGCGCAAGTTCTGTGAAACTACACAACTTATTTATTGCTTGACAAAACCTCGATTAGAGAAATGAGACTATACGTCCGATGCAGCCTCCAAACGAACTCAATGTAAGTCGCTTTTATGCCCCTTAATAAATACGATTTGTCTGCTTTTGAACCTAACCATAGTCACAATTTGTTTTTAAGCCTCAATATCAATACAAACTTATAAACCACTATGTGACAACCAGACTATTTGTCTCCCAACTTTCCCTGAGCTATTGTAACTCTCGTCCTTCTTTCAACCTTATTCAATCGGAGAAAACTTCAGAAGAATTAACATACATTTAATTACCATGATTTGCAACCACATATTTGGCAGTCCGTTATTGTTCAAACTTTTGATACACTTTTATAAATACATACAATACATAAGTTAATAAAACAAATAAAAAATACCAGCTTCAACAAAGCAAAAACAGCTCATCAATCTCAAGGACAACACGTTTTTCATTCTAAAGACAATTGTTGATGTTATCTTATGACCACGGTAGAAATTGTGTAAAGTTTGATCACATAAACAGTGACAAATAATTCGAGCAACCCACAATGTTTAATGTCTAAATCATGATATAACTATAGTTGTAACAGTTTTTTATTGTAAGGAAACGTGGAACAGACACTTGAAGAACGAAAATAGAAAATTAAATTACATGGATGATTATCAAATTCCCAGACTTGAGAGGATTTTATGATAGGTCCGATATTGAAGATTATAGAATATCGTACACAACAACTGCCAGTATATTTTATTTATGCAGAAGGGCCCTTGCTTGCTGTAAATGAGCATAATATATAAAAAGAATTCAAAAAATACTAGAAAATGATCAGCTCAGTGAAACTATGATAGATAGATAGATACTTGAAACGATTAATATTAACATGGTTCAAATGTCAGGAATACAAAAATGTGAAATTCAAATAATATGCAACAATAAAAAAAAATATAGCACAATATTCTGAGTTATCAATATTATCATTTAATCCTTAATGCAAGCAATAACAACTTTGCATAGCATTGTATATTTGGTACAAATCATACTTAACAAGAGTTTGATATTTTCTGAGTAGATGCCATTGGACATTCTCAGGCATTCCAAGCATGTCTAGATATAAAATTAGTTTGAAAAATTGTTACTGATTTTACATACGACTAATCTGTCTCATATTACAGTTCTGCAGCAGTGTTTTTTATTAGGTTGAACTGGGTATTTATTTATTTATTACAGATTCAATATCGGCATGAGTGATAGTTTTGAATAATTCTTTCCTTGGAAAATTGCTTGCGAATTTTTTTGTCCATAAGTGTCGGTTACTTGAGCAAAAGCTTAATATCGTACTAAATAAAATATACCAGAATATTTCCAATATTTGAATGCCTTGTTAGTCAAAAAGCCAAGTAAGGGCAGCAGGGCTCTAGAACTAATTGGGAGTCGAAAGTAGAAATTTTGACTTCCTCAGAGTCAGAATTTCAAATTTTACAGCAACAAAAAATAAAAAAAATTGACTACATTTTCTCAAAGGTTTATTGAAGAACGATTGCATGTGTCAAAGTTTTTATTATCAGAATTAATTTTCCTCGAGGGTTTGAAGCTTGTATCAAAATCCCCATAAAGCTGTAGTCAAAAATTTTGCAAGATTTATGGTAAATTTGGTGATCATGAACTTAGCGTGCACGCATAATAAATTATTTCTTTATTCAATATACCTAGTCCTTACTATCTAAATATCTCTTGCCTAGAGACATATTCATGAAAAGCATTATAATATATTCAAAATGGTAAAGCAAAATTAATTCCACGTTTGACGGTTATTATGTACTGCTCACATTAAATATTGTGATTTTTTAAAGGCAGTAATGCAAAGTCTTGGCGTTTCCTGCAAAAAAATCAATGTAATAATATTTGTATTTTTCCGAATAATTCATGGAAATGGCCAATTCAAATTTCATTTAAAGTTCCCTTATTGAGAAAAAGCCATTAAATGCATGATTTTAGATTTCAGGTAAGATAAGATAAACAAAAAGAATGGCGTACTTGTAATTATTGAAATATTTATAAGCGCACAAACTACTAACATAATTTCAAAGCAAGAATATATTTGATAAATGTATGTAAGTTTGATGATTCATACAAGAAAGCATGATACATAATAACATTCCATCATTTCCGACATCGCTTTGTGGAAAACTTACTTTAAACCGCTATTCAGCAGATAATTATGTTACAAACTAGAGCATAACAACAAATTGATTAGGGAAGGAGCCTATTAATTTTTCTATTATTGAATTTTTAAACTGAAGAAGAGAAAAACTGATAAGATGGCTTAACCATATAACGTCCGAGGTTCTCATCTGGTGTATGAGAATAGCTTAACATTTTTTCCCCAAATGCCATGATGTCCAAAACGAAACGACTTTTCGATTTAGTAAATTCATATTTTCATTCAAAATTGTTTTTTTGAGCATTTATTATTTTATGATAGACAAAAAATTAGTTAACTTCTGACAGAATAAAATAGGAAATACTAATTAGACATGGTTTATCTAAATTATGAAGTATAACTGAATTTGATTTTTACGAATTTACAATTGTCTCAAAGAATATTTTCAATATTTCATATTTGAAAAGACTATTTTACAATGTATTCGAAATACTGAACTATTCGGTTTTGGCCATCCCTGGCAGGGACTTGGTTGGAATATAATAAATAATTCCCCTAAATAAATGAACAACAATGATATGATAATAATATTGTCCATCAATATCAAATTAGAATAGATGAATATGACAGTATTTTGGTATCATTAGTAACAGTGTAATAAAAATATTATATAATACCACAAAGTTTCCCACACGTATAATATATATATAGGATTAATAAGATAAGGAGAAATATGAAGTTACCACATATACGATTATTTAAGGTGCCAAAACACGTGCGCTTTATGCATTGTCTTACAGACAGATAAAGCTTACGATTGTTACGAATGACAGTTTGGAGTAATATTTCATGCTCATTCTGTATGAAAAGTTTCAATAATGAATTTATCACTATTCCATATCTAGGAAAGTATTGTTGAAAAGCTGCTCGACATCATCATGCAAATATATTGAAGTGCTTTGCATTGTACTTCACAACAACAGTGTATATTAGCTTCGAACTGAATACGAATGAGAGGAATCATCTTTGTAGTTTATCATATTCCTGTTGTGATACTTGTTGTGCACGAGCATTGTTGTAAACATCGTTTGTGTTCTCGTAAATTCCTGCTGAAGGTGAAGATAGACTTTGCCTGTTGATAAATTGCGAAAATATGTAAAATTGTGAAAGTTTAAATATACACAAACACAATACATGGAGTCAAGTTCTTTGCATTGTTTGAGTACATGGATTGATTGAAAATGATGAAGAATGGTTCAATGCTGATTTTATATGGCAAATGTAACAATTACATTTGCTTATACAGTGATACCTTAGTAGTTGAACGACTGATACTCAAAACAATTCGGCAGTCGAGCATGCCACCAATGAAATAAAGTCGAGTATGCAATCTGTGACAATAGACTAACGGTACGTTAGAATTCGACTACCGGGGTACCACTGTACTTACATTGATGTTGTTCTTGAATCGCTTAAATTTCCGACAGGAGGAATAGGTGAATGTAATGCTGGTTGTGGTGTATGAATTGGTAATTCCATGCCGGCAGTTTCTGCAGTTTGACGAGTATTAATGTACTCTCTACCTTTACCTTTGCTTTTCTGTAAAGTAAATCAACACTTGAGTTTTACATAGAAACAAGAAAAATGAAAACTGTATAACCTGAAGCTTGGATAAAGTTTGTGGGTGTTTGTTCCATTTTGAAGTAAAACAAATGCTCTCATTTTATAAACCAAATGATTGGGTGCATAGCAAACAAGTAATCTACAATTTTATTACAAAATGGTTTGAATAAGTTATTTCAAAATATTGTCAAATGAGAGAGGGTTTTGAAAAGTTTTTCGGATGTTCTACCCAATTGAATATCGTAATTTATATGAATAAAAATAAACATTGTGCGTTTCCCAAAATTTCAAGTAATGTGAGAAAGCAATTTTCTAGCGACGTGTTGGATTCAAATGCCCTACTACCGATATTTTGGAGAAGGTTCAAATATTTGATTTGTGTAAGGCATCCCTAATTCAAAGTTTTCTATTATGAAAATTTACACCATAGGGAAATGACAGAATTAATAAACAAAAATTACACATTCGATCTTTAATTCAAAATAAATTTGAAATAATATAATGGTAAATTTAAAAATAGTTCAGTGATGTTTCTCTGTTAGTCATAAACATTAACACCTTATGCCAGCGCTTTTCAACCAGAGTAAAATAGTTTTGTAACGATTCTCTCTTAGTCCATAATGGGGTTACTGAGCAGTTGCTCGTCTTTCTGGAAACATGGGGGCCCCTGAAAGGGCCACGAGCCATAAAAGGTTAGAAATCACCATCTTACTTGCTCTTCTTCCATTCTTTTTGTTAATGTTTCGATATGTTGTTTAACAGCAAGATAAACAAATTGATATTGAGCTTCTGTTTGAACCATGCCAGATCTTTGACCTCGAACAATTTGTATCGTTCGTTGAATATCTATTTCACAATCCAAACCTGGTGGTAAAATATAACATTTATTAAAACTAAATTAAAATACACTAATAAAATTGATACTGAATTTGATTTGGTTTTAACTAATTGCGAAAATACACATACAGATACCAACTCAAACCAATAACCAAAAAATTATTGTCAGAATATGACACACTGGATGTTTTCCAGAGCATTAACTTATTTGAAAATCAGCACAGCAGGCGCACAGAGACTTTTTTCACTCAGGTGGAGTTTCAGGTTAGGCGGTAAACATGAGCTCATTTTCATGGTTTTGCCAGCTATTTGTCAGGTTTTAGTTGTGATTCCGAAATTTAAGTAAAAATCAAATAAGTCAAATGTTTTTTGTCTTACAAGAACATTTAGCATAGATGCAACAAATAAAATTTAGCCCTAAAAAAACTTACGATAGACTGGGCGAAAACAAGCTATCAGTAGTTGTAAAAGTCAGTTGGGGTAAATATTTTGAATCAGAATTATGGTTATTGACATGGAAACCCGCTTTTGAGCATTCGAAAACAAATAAAAATCAGGGAAAATATTTCTTTTCAATGGTAAACTATAGAAAGACTTTTTTTCAGAGGCAAGGGCTTGGGAATCAATCATTACAAAATCCATTTGATGTCATGCGAAGACAACACATCATATCCATCAATCTTTCGCAACTTTTACAGCTTCAACATTAGGGTTGCATGATTTTTTGTTATGTAGGCTATAGATATAGATAGAGTTATGATAAAACCAATCATACCTTGCTGTCTTATTATATCAAGTATAATATCAATAACAATAAAAGTTCCAGACCGTCCAATTCCTGCACTACAGTGAACAATGACCGGCCCAGGAGTTTTCAGTGAACGCTGTGAGATAATGGAATTTTATTGACAGTAAATATTGATATTGTTAAACGCTCTTGTAAATGCAAGACAACTGAAACAAGTTGCCAGAGACATTTTCAAAATTTACCATTTTTTCTGGGTTGTAATAAACTAGATAGACAATGTCAAACTGTCAAATTTCACGCCGTTCCAAGAGTAACTTTTTAAGTATCAGCATTTTGTTTAGGTGAAGATATGCGAACAGTTCAACAAAAAACGACTTTCAGAAAACAAGAAAACCTAGAAAAAATTTACTTCCTATATACATAGTTATTGATAACATTACCAATTTAGTTCATCTATACTCTGTGTCAGTTTCTCGGGGCAAATGATCCAGAATTTTAACAGAAAGTTTGAGGGTCAGAGGTCAGAAGGTCAACAATATGTAACAATGCTAGTATAGAATAAAATCAAATAAGACTAAACCCTTACCTGGCATTCATTAATTTCATGCAAATAATTCAGGACGCCACCCGGATCAGAAGGTACACCATGATCAGGCCATACTTTAAAGTGATGATGATAAACAATTTGCTTGTACTGTGGCTGTAAAAAGATACATTTTACGACATAAGCCTTAAGCTAAATTCATGACTACTTTGCACCACTTTACACTTTGCCATCAACATAGCTAAAACCAAATATTTTGAATACACCCCAACAAACATTATTCAAATTTTGAAGGTCATAATAGAAAGAGCACACATCATTGCATATTTGTATAAATAAAAGTTTATGACGCAAAAAAGTTCAGATAAACATTGTTTTATTTATTATGCCGTAAAATTGTCAACTGTTATATTATCTACTTTTCTGTCCTATTATTAAAAGTCAACAGTCAAATGTTAGGAATAAAATTTTTTCCATGATAGAACGATAAATTATAATAAAATCGGTGATCAGTTGTTTTGGAAAAAACAAATTACGACATTTGGTAAACTAAATTTAAGTTATCAAATTTTAAAAGCAATTTTCATATTGAATAATAATACTATAAAAAATATAATGCATGAAATTAATTTGAAAATTTTAATTTTAATAGGCCTACCCCACAATAATAAAATATCAAGATCCATGAAACATTAGATGTACCAAGCAAGTACCATATCATTTCATTTTGAATTATAATAAAATGATAGAGACCATAATTTATAAACTGAAGTTTGTCAAATCATAACCCTGGATCCTATATGCATATTGCCATTGATGTGGACTCAAAAAAAGGACAGTAAGGTAGTAAAACAAAAGTGAATAGAACAATGGTTTCCAAAGTTGATTGACCGGGGGCCAAATTAGAAGTGGAAAGATATTCCCGGGCAAGAGAATGAAGAGGCCGATACTGGTACCGGTACATATAATTAAGAGACCGCCAACCGGTATATTTGAATTAGTACAAATATAAACGTGCTAATGGCGTAACAATCTAGAACGCCAAAAGGTAGACACAAAGTGTCAAAATATTTCACTTAAGTTTGGTGGGCCATATTAAATTATCAAGGCCCGCGGACTGCACTTTGGGAACCACAGCCCACAGGTATATAACTTACTGAATGAATGTAAAATTTTATAACAGGAATGACTACCTCAGTAATTATGCTCACTAACACGGTCATTACTATTTGCATCATAGGAGATTTCATCGAATTATGAAAAAAAAGGAAGTGACTGATTTCCAGTTTGTTTTAGTGGTTATGTCACGTATACACAATGAGTGCTTTCTAATTCATTACTAAGCAGGATTTTTTGTCAGTGGGCCATATAACCAACTTCAGACATCTAGCAGGGCCACACAACAAAATTTAGCAAGAAAGGCAAGAGAAGAGAATGCGGCTATTGCTTAGATTTATAGTTATAAATGCACCGGGCAAACGACGAAAGATTTAACACAAAGACAAAAGCAAAAAAAGATTGATTTTTACCCATGTGAGCGCCCTGTCAAACTGTTGGATTAGGATCTATGCTTGATGGGGAAAAATCTGAGTATTGACGAGGGTCGTACTAAATGGCTTGGCAGGCCGGATGGGTCGCATGTTGCAGACCCATGCAATAAAGCCTACAAATAAATAGAGAAATATTTTGAAATCCCCAAAACAGACAATAATGTACCAACAGCTAATATCTAACATCCTTCTTCATTATATTACATTATATATTCATGTCACAGTCAGTTGAGATAACAATAAACTAAAATATTCAAACGCTCTCAAAAATCACAATATCCCATAATCTGTGTTTGTTATATTAAAACTTACATCAGATTCTTTAGTGATGACAAACTGTCTCCAAGTATAATCACGAAAAACATTTTCTTTTGCGTTTAATAATGTATATTCTCCATATTCCTTACTTTCTCCTTCTGGTGGCCAATATCGAACGCATTTATTCTGTTAATACAACATTAAAATTAAATTAAAATTGATTAATGGAGAAAAAAGGCCAACAAAATTAAAACAAAAATACACTTAAAAATGTCCGAGCTAAAATGTCGAAGGAAAAGGTTAGCAGACTCCAAAATATTCTCATAATTTTAATTCAAAAAGACTAATAAAATTTCCTTGTTGATAATCTGTAGAATGATTTTGTCAAAATCACAAAATATGCCCCAATGCTCGTGCAATATTTTTTTTAATATCAAAACTAACATCATCCACATTAAACAGTTCAAATCTTATCAAACTTTATCAGGCTGATCACTAATTTTATATGGACCATGATAAAACATTTATATAAAAAAGTCTAGTCAGTAATCTTAAAGATAAGCTATGAATACAACCTGAAAGTTGTAGAACTCACAAAACAAACTTACTCTTCCTCTTTCAACTTCCTTCGTTGTCATTACAATTACTTGTGCTTTTTCCTGTACAATCATTCTCCAGAAATCATTTACAGTATTAACGAGACATCCTTGTGTTGAAATATATGTTTTGCATCTGCAGATTGATGCCGCATCTTCAAAAACGGGCTGAATCAAGAAAATGATTTATAAAATCAAATATTTTATTTTCAGTGTTTGAATGGCATTTGAAAATATTCAACTTATGAACGGCCGTTCGTTCTCAAAGCAAAAAAGTGAGAAATACTGCAAAATGTGATACTAGAATATCATCAAATACACTTACCTTTATATAATTAGCATTAATATAATCAGATCCTGGTACATTTGGATCTCCATCTTTCAAAATAACTCTTGTGTGATCAACTGTCAAACAAAATAATAAATAAACAATAAATTCCCTCGAATTAAGGTGGTCTCCAGATTCACCTTAACACAGATAATTCAATTGAAATGGTCAGTCAATCATTTACTAGATACAACTATTAATAAAAGTGATGCTAATAAAAAAAATATTCAAATTTAATGTAAAACAGGACTAAACACCAAACTTACATGGCAAAATATTCTTATATCTATTCTTTGCTTTATTTTCTGGTTTAGCACCTTCCTTTCTGCTGTATAAATGTTTGCATTCTGTTTGTTGTAAAGCCTACAATACAAAGAACATGTAAAGTTTTGATATTTATAAAAAAAGATTTAAAAACCTGACACATATAAGATGACAGGATATCAACTTTGTTCATTATTTTGGTCTTCTCTCAGTAAATAGTGAAATGAACGAGATTTTGTAAACTATTAGGAGATTTACTCAAAGCAAGGTAACGCGCACTCATCCGGAAATAAAAAAAACTGATCTCTGAGCAAAGTTACCTCATATAAAGAAATACTACGTACATTTTAAATTTATCTATTCATATACACATGATTCTCCATAATGAATGAACTTGGTAATTAAAAGATTAATAAACTCATTTGCATAATTGAAATTTCATTTAAAGTTTCCTCTATTTATATGCATAGTTTTGACAAAAAATTGTAGTAAGAAGGCATAAAAGCAACTAAGCAAAATATTTTTAGAACTTTTAAAACCACTTTTTGCAATTCAATTCATATACACGTCATTGATTAAAAATCAAACCTCAAATTCTTCCCAAAATCCAGCTTTAGAAGTAGGTTCTTCATTCGATTTCACAAGTTGACTAACTCTTCTGTCGATGTGTGCAGCACTGATTCTTGTAGCATTGTACGGCTGCTTGAGATAGACAACATTACCAGACCTCTCCACCATAGCATTGTGCTTATAATGCTCCACTAAGTCCGTGAGTGATTCAAACCATTGTCCACCACCAATGTCATATTTCCGATCAGCCTGTAATCGTAATTTCAAAGTAGATATTATATTTGCAAATAGCAATACTTAAGATCTTAAACAACGCTTTTATTTAGTTTTTTCAAGCTAGAGTAGATAGTCCAGTGATACATAAAAAAAAAAATTCTTCACTATTCCGAATAAGTTCTGAGTAAATCTTTTCGAATATATTATACATTCTAAATTCGGGGCAAGTTTATATGGAAAATCACATAAATCACTATCTTATCTCCATGTTGATCATATCTAAAACAACATAAATATAAAGGTCATTGTTTTCTCTGTTTTTTATAAGGATGTTCTAAATTATTTCTAAATTCAAAAATTCACTATATCAAATGTGTTGAATTCCGAATGAATTTGAATATTTGATATCCCTGGACATCCCTGGTAGAAGCTACTGGGAGCGTGTTGAAAATATTTTTGAAATTTTATGGACTAAGAGGCAATTCCACAGATTCATAAATTGTATTCCTTGCTTGAACAAAAGTATATTAATTGAGAATAAATATAGAAAAAACAACATATTGCCAGCTTACACCATGACGTATCATAATATGAATAATTTTGTCTTCACAACGAACAGAAAGAACAAAATCTCCAGGTTTACTTCGACTTTCTCGGACAAGAAAACTTCCATTCTTGCCTTTATCTGTCAACAAAGTTTCTGCTTGTTTCCCAGACATATGACCATGGAACCATCTAAATATAATGTACAACATCTGAAAGATTACTTTACAATTTTATCAAACTCTACTGTTGACTGTACCTAATGATAACTCAATGTTTCAATAACCATGTAAATACCATTGCTTTTGCCAAATTTTTCATACTATACTAAGATTTTACACTGTGATACTTCCCACATATACAATTGAGCAACACTCCAATGCCAAATAAAAAATAAATAAAAAAGATTTATCACGAAATGAGATAAATAAATAAAATTTCGTTGAACAATATGTAATCCAAGTAAATTTTCCGGCGACCTAGCTTTGGGTCGCGACCCATAGGGCGGGAAGTGCTGTTCCATATTGAACAACCAGGCAACAAGATTATCATATATGCAAAAATTTTCTTCATAACATGTTATATGCAAAAATCCTAATTTTGCTGCATAAATAGATAATTTACAAACTAAACAGTTATTTTAATATTGCAAATTGTTATAATTAAGAGTTTCGAATTTTTTCGATTTTAAATTGAAGAATACTATTTTTTCCAGTTTTTACAATTTTAAAACTTATTGTGAAGTTGTTGCCAAATTTGACTGGCAAGTGATGATTAATATTCATTATAAACATATCTCAATCAGCAAAATGTCAAATCCTGTACAAACCTTTCTGATGTTGGATCGGCACAATTGAGTGGATATTTCAATTCAATTATTTCTCCATTTCTCTCTCTAAGTTGACCATGTTTCTCTGTGTAAAACTGGACCAATTCCGTCAAAGTAGCAAATTTTTCTCCTCCATATAAATCATAGAAATCTCCAGTATTTTGTATTTTGATATGTGTCACCTCATTGGCTCTTCTGTAAAAAAAAATTCATCATCTTATAATTTACTAGTAAACTAATCTAGAAATGTTTGTATCTAAATAAACTAGTGTAATCAACCTTAAATGCAACTTGATTCGTTTCCAATTCAATCTAAATCAGTGGTTCTAAAACCTTTTTAAGTCGCGTCCCCTTTTCGGAATTTGTCAAGTCTCGCGCCCCACCTCAAAAATAACTAGCTAACAATAAGTTACGAATAACAGATAGTAAGACAAAAATATGTTTAGAATTGGAACATAATAATAAAACAAATGAAGTGTAAATATCCAAATCAAGGCAGGCAAGATAAAATCTAACGAATATTTTTATCTACAATTCGCTTCACGTTCTCTCAAAAAAATAAATTTTTTTTTTCTTGGTATGTCATGATTTGATTACCGTATTTACTCGCAAATACGCCGAGTTTAAAACTCAAAAAAAAAAGTTGCCCAACTAAGGGACCGTCTTATTTGCACATGACTCAGATAGCACCAAAAATCGGCTCCTTCACGCATCGAGACTTTGATCACGCAGCGAAATGATATCATGCTGACTTGCCCGGTAATTGCGATAAAGAGCGTGCACCACACACGCGATCGCTTGTCTAGGTGTGATTGTCTGATCATAAACGTGACGGCTTGTATTTGATTGCATCTTTTGCATAAAAGCAACAGCATTGATCTACCAGCCGTCTCGTGGTCAAAACGTTATCATTTGTGCACAAGTAAGAATCAGATAGAAGTTTCAGGTAGAATAATACTCACAGCATTAATTCTTAACAATAAAACTGTAATTTCAATCATTTTGAACAACCATTTACGGTGACTGAAAGGTTGAAATAACATATGAATATGGTGTGATAAATACTGTGCTGTTCGTCCACGGGTTAGGCAACAGCTGTGTTTTCCGTTTTTTCCTGAATCAGCAAAACGGAAGGGTCATAAATCAATCACTTTATTTCGTGGTAGCCGTTTTCTTTCTGAAGTGCCGTTATCGGGCAGGGAGTGCTTCTTTGCACCGGCCACGTTTTTGTTTTCTAGGATTAAGACAAATAACAGCTGGTATACAAAGTCAATTAAATAATCGGCAGACACTTTGGCATACATTATAAAATATATCAGCCCATATATGAAGCTCACACAAATCATGTTTGAGAAGACTTGCGAAAAATAACCAAATTTATTGCCATGTCCGCTCAGGATATCTCGACTACCTTAATATAAAATAATGATTGCAAAATATTTTCAATCAAAAATGTCCTCATGTTATACGTTTGGTACTCCAAGTCGGCCATGATTTAATTCCTTTCATGTTGGCAGTAATTTAGTTGTGCCGCAAAGTGCTGTCTTCCATTACGATAAAACAGAAAATATAATAATCGAAAATTGTTTTAATCAAAATGTGGACAGCGGCGCTAGAATGTGTGTGCCATATACAAGAAGGTAGCGCATCGCGATATTTGAATATTAAATTTGGATTGAACATCATTGACTGTAATACATGCGTGCGCCGTGTTACGATTTGTGGAACGTCGTATATGCGAATTTTTATAAATTCACTATTTTAAAGCTGTTATTAGGGAGTCGGCTTATCCGCGTGTTAGGCGTATAGTCGAGAAAATACGGGTATTTGAGCACTAAAAGTGAGGAGGTTAGTACAAAGTTATTCCTTCCGTTGCATGATCAGGGATGTACAAAACAAATAGAATATTCAAATTTATTATATTTGAAATATAAATCTTCGAAATTTGGAATAATTCAGAATATTCTTATTAAAAATTAACGATTTTGAGTCGTCAGACAAGCGTATCCAAACGTAAATATCTCGACTGATAACAAAAAGCACAAAGAAAACAATGACCTTTTTATTCACGTTATTTTAGAAGTGATCAACATAAAGATATAGTGTTTTATGTAATTTTCCTGAATGAACTTGCCCCCAAATTAGAATGTATTCAATACGGTGACCGTACATTTGAACCCACATACATTTGAACCCATGTGTATATCCGCGGGTTCAATTTATATGGGTGCTTAAACCCATGGGTTAGGGTTAGTATGGGTTCAAATATCCGTGAAACAAAAAAAATTCCATAGGTGCAATAGTATGCAGGTTCAATTGTCGTGGGTTTAAATGTAATGGACCCATTCAATACACCATAGTGAAAAATATTTTCTCAGAATGTATTCAGAATAGTAAGGTTTTGGCCATCCTTGTGTGTGATATGAAAATAATGGGGATCCCGAAGTATGCGAACCAAGATGGCGGACATCGGAATGTAATATGTGTACTAGGTTAGGGTTAGGCCATAATTTTAGCTATAAATACTACGGGAGGCTCTTGGCTAGCTTTCGAACTGATAATAGGACTAAAATAAGGAAAATTGGAAAAAAATTATCGCCTAACCCTAACCTGTTATCCATGTTACGTTCCGATGTCCGCCATCTTGGTTCGCATACTTCGGGAGCACCAAAATAATATAGTGGTTCACAGAATTTTTTAATAAAGCTAAATACAGTACATTACCTGACAGACAATGTGAAATCCCCAGGATTGCTTTTACTTGGTCTGGCAAGAAAACTTCCATCAACACCTCGTTCTAGAAGAAGCTGTTCAGCATCAACTCCATTTATGTTTGGGTGAAACCATCTAAATTTATAAGCAATCGTTTATGATAGTGTCATCCAAAAATTAGGTCGCTATCAAGCAAGGTATGTTGCATTCAAAGTTATACTCGTTCGTTCGTATATACCGGTAGTATATCATTCGTTCACATATCGTTTTGAGCTCAAGAAAATGATCCAACGACGAGAAAGCGAGAGAAGGTACAACTTTGTATACAACATAGTTTGCTCGATTTCAGGCGATTGTGAAAAATTGTTACTAGAAGGTATTGTGGTACAAAACTACACGAGACCCAAAAATGGTTATGCCAAGCCCATTAGAAGTACCGTACTGGTGATACGAAACCACATTAGGCCCCTTTAATCAATCCATTTATCATCATTCATTTGTCAGCACAAAATGAACGTATCATAAGAAAAAACATTTCAAACACAATAGGAAAGTAAATTAAGTTGTGTGACAGAAGGTGCGAAGGACCTCATAAGGTCTTCAGGCAGCGACATCTAAAAAGCTCGCTGATTCAGGTTAGTGAGCACAAAAAGTTAATGAAACACCGAAAAAAAGCAGCATTTTTGAAAAACAAAATATTACCAAATATGTTTCATGAGTGGTTTGTAAAAGCAAAACATTCCAGTTATGAGCATGTCACTGTATATTTGATAGTTCGGGTCTGGTATAGTTTAGTACCACATGCGCTTCTAGTTGGCCTGGCTCAACAATTTTTGCATATGTCAAGCTCTATGACGTGATTGTGACGTCGTAGTGACGTCATTTTTGGATGACATAGTCAGGTGATGGTTAGTAATACCATACACAAAATTCGTTATGCTACTTCCACCGAAAATACTTGTGGTACTAAACTACAGAACTATACTAGACCGGATAGTTCAATGAGAACAGGTTCAATACTGCAATAAGGTTTGGGCTGTTTATTAGGTTTTTTCCAAAAATCACTGTCTGCTGGTCTCTGGCACGATTTGAATTTCAGTCTTTAGTCTGTTAGTAACCAGAGATGCGATGACCCCACCATAACAATCTGATCTGACAATTGCATGTGCACCGGATGACAATTCCCAAATTATTGTTCCCAAGTACTGAAGTACGTAACACCCAGTGGTGGTATTCAGCCGGTTCTATAGAACAGTCTCACAGGAATTTTATGAGATCAGCGAACCGGTCAACATTACTGGTTTATTCGCTAAAAAAATATGACGTTTTGTAACAGAACTGGGTGAAAAATATGACTTTTGTGATGGAACCTGATGACAAAAAATTTGAATCCCACCACTGTGTACACCTACTAATATTATGACACATCATATTTTTACCAGTCTCTAAGATACCAAATATTGCACTCACCTTCGGGATATCGATGTCATTTTACACGAACGACCGTTAATTCTGAATTAGTTCCCACAAAAGTGAATACATTCGCTTCCGACGACAAACAACTAGATTTAGTACTGTAAACAGCCAATCTTACGTGAGTGAGGGACTCCGGATTCAAGTCGGGGACTCCGGAGCATTTATTTTAAATTATGTTGTCAGCAGTCGGCCTTGAAATCGAAGTTTCAGACATTCAGAAGTAAATGTCAACCATAAAAAAGTTTATTAAACGTTCCAAACAGTCTACTGAAAAAGTTTTCATCAAAATTTAATTTACTCGGGAGTCGAGACCTCCGTCAACCGGGAGTCGGAGTCGAACATTATTTAACTCTTACTTTCAAATATATTTGCTCTTTTTCAATGGTAGAGTTTTATCTAATGTGCGCGTGTAGCTATATCGTTGTTAGGACGTCGGGTCAATATATTTATGTGGTAGACAAGGGTGAGCTAATGAACACCCGCCACTCCTGTTGGCAACACCGGTTTCCTTGAAATTCGCTCTTAGCGATGCTGATTTTGAAATCAGTTTCAGAAGGATGATCGTTGATATTGTGTTGCTAAACCTTGCTGTTGGGAAAAATCGCATTCCTCCTCAACTAATGGCCCAACCAATCGATTTCAGGTATTCAGTACTAAAGACGGAATGGCTCTCATGGTTATTTCAAAATTAATTCGTTCGAAAATACTACGTACTCGTATAGCAGAGAAATATAATTGCTACTTGGCGCGGCGGTGTGGCTCAACGGGCTAAGCGTTAGGAATACGCTCGCCACCGCACCTCTAATTACTCTGCGTGGGTTCGCAGGTTCGAGTCCCATGCAGGGATGGTTATGTGCGAGAGGATTGCTGGACTCCTCGCCGTCGTTGGGTGGTTCACGTAACCGCTGGTCGGTTACGGCTTCCTCCACCACCAAGTCCATGCTTCCGAAAACGTAACCGGACGAGAGGCCGTGGTTCGCCATATGAATACGCCGCCTTATCGGCTTTCCTCTCCCCCGGGATAAATAGGTAGATCCTATCCTACTCCCTTTTCAGTGTACACAGGAACAACTAATCATTCTAGTTACATTGTTTCGTTTCCTGCTCTTGATTATTCATTAACAGACTATGAGAAAAGCGCTTGACTTGATTTTTAATATAAATTGGCTGTGTACAAGTCCGTAAATCCAGAGTCGACTCACGGGCAATCTGAGTCTAGTAGTTGTTACATGACGAATCTGAATTTCCCTATTTAGATGACTAGTCTTTGAGAAATAATGATTCTGGTCCAATCAATGACTCTAGCCTCCCAAACACTGGTTGTGCCTAGCTAAATTTTCACATTTATCTTGACTGGTAACATGGGTTGACCATTCGACAGATCACAGTTTTTGTTCGTTCTCCGCAATATTTTATCAGATATTAGTTCTAAATGGCCTTGAAAGGTGCAAATACCCCCTTTTTAATCATTGGCATATTTTGCAGTTTAAAATTTTTAAACCATAAAAGAAAATCCAATTTGCAACGGTTATGAACCAGAACATCTTTACATAAACAAAATTTACTCGATCAGCGTTTCATCAACCCACCAGAGAATTTAATATCCTCAACCATACCCAGTAATCCTATAAATTCATAAAGAATCATGACACACATTTATAACTGGATGATTAGTGTTATAGTATATAATAGCTGATATCAATATCACACACACTCCTTGTATTAAAATTTGAAAATGTGGTTTAACGAGCATTAGATTTGGTGAAAAACTAAATAGCGAGCTTTACTGCATAGGAAATGCACTTTAACAAAATTTTTGCCGATTTAAACAAGAAACTCATTTGAAAGTGACAAAATTAGACTTCGTGAATCAAAACATTTAACGAAAATTATTTACCAAAAATAATTGAACTCAACCGAAATTGCATTTTTAGTGAAAACAAACTTACAAGCGACTTGGAATGATGCAACAGAATAATATGAAAAATGCATCATTCTTATTGCTGATATTGTGGATTGTGAATCGGTAATAAAGGCATAATTCGGTGTAGTAGCATAATTGTCTAATACTGAATCACACAAACCATTATTCATAAATTCACAATATACGTTTTAATTGCTATTTGGACAGATAGTTACAGCATAGTACGCTACATAGAAATAAGAGTGGCCAAAATAATTTCAATGCGTGCTTTTAATTTCAAATTTATCATTGCTCTAAAAGAATCCAGTGGCCAAAAAAAGTTTAATATGTGATTTTAATTTCAAATTTCACCATTGCACTAAAAAAATCCTAATAAAAAATTTGAATAAAATATTTGAAAAAAATATTTGAAAAAAGTAACCGTATGATATTGTTTTTTTTGGTCACGCAAAACATTAGCAGTAACAAAAGCCTATCCTACCGTGCTGAGATTGGAATGTAATGAGTGAATGCGACAATCAGAAAATGATGTGTAATACTCGAGACTTGGATTAGTCATGGATACAACATAAACCTGGTGGCCAGAAACGATTTTTACAAAAAAAAAAGATAATGCTTCATTAAGATACACGTTATAACAGGGTTAAATCCTCATCTTTGAAAAATTCTCTGAGTACATTATATACGGTATAACATTGTTTAATATTAAAATATATCCAAGGTATAATGATACTACTTTATGTACAATTTGAATAAGTGCCAAGTTTTACCAACAGATTTTAATGCCAAAAAATGCCAGATAATTACTGTTATAGGACTAAATTCTGGTGTAATTTTAATATGATAGTATAGTGTGTGTGTGAAGGCAAGAGCCAGATTTACTAAAATACCAAGTGCATGAAATGAAAGTGAAAGATATAAACCAAATGAATGTGCAATGACGTATTTAATAAAATTGTCATAATATGTGAAAATGTTACTGTTAATCATTATTGAAAAAAATGTGAGCAAACATACTGAAAATAATTTGAATTCCGGACCTGCTGCTCTACATTAAAGTAATGTTTGATGACTTGATGATACATTCTTGAAATTTGCATAAGGACAGAATTATTGACACAATTGTTGGAATGCACATCTTCAAAACTTCAATAAGAAAGTCTAAAATTTCGAGTCCTCAATTATCCCCCTCCTCACTCTTCAGCTGCAAAGCTCGGACCATAAGGCAAGCAAATATTGTCATTACCATCTTCTGGTTTACTTCCCACAAATCATCAGGCAAAGCGTAAATTTTAGCTCCAATTTTTCGGCCCATGGAAATAGCGTATCTAAAAACAAAATGGAAAATGCAATTAAGTTTGTTTATAAGTACAAAATATCAAATATTAGATTTTCAACTAGGATCAGTGGCTTTCATAGTTTATTGCGATTTTTACAGCCCAAAAAAATATGAAAAAACCTTAAGTGACTCTTTCTGTAAGGTATGAAGGCCAAAACGAAGAAGCAAAAAATATTTTACAGCACAGGCAGTTTGACCACGAGATGCTAAAATGCGATCATGGAACCTTGACATGGTGCGTTTTGTTTCAATTTTAATGACATCTCCGCCCAAACACAAATCCATAGAGCCCACAGTAATTTGGGAAATAAATAAAAGTAACATTCTAGCGACAACATTATCCTTAATCTTAACCACTGGAAATTTCAAAGCAATTGGTCCATCAGTTATTGAGAAAAGTGATTTTTCCACAACAACAAGAAGAAAAATACAATATGACAAAACGGTCCATTGGTCCACTTCATGTCCGACAATCCTATTAGCAATCTTGTATATAACCAACTAAAACTAGGAGTTGAAAGGGAAATTACAATATTCAAACTAAAACTTTAGTATCCAATTACAGTTAAAATGTGTTTCAAAACTGGTGATCTAAAACTTGTAACATCATTACACACAATTAATCAACAACAAATCTATTTCAAATCTTACCGATAGGGTCAAGGCCATTATAAGAAGTAAAAATGCCGGAAAAAAAGTATATAGTACAGTACAGTATATGGCTATATGCTATATTAAATTTTTTCCTTGAAAATTCCTGCTACGAAACTAAAAGCGCCTTGGAGGTTCGAGTTTAATTTAGTAGAGTGGAATGAAAGTTCAAATGGCGGAATTTTCTAGATGAAATTTCCCTAGCATAATTTTGTGAGTGTGCCTTGAATAACTTTCCAAAAAGCATAACGCAGTAAAGTACCTCGCATTGCTCTGCTGCTCTTCCTCATTATCACCAGGTGAAACATTGCTGTAATCAATAGATCCTTCTGCAATAGCATCAATGAGATCGAGAACAACAATCGATGTTCTTATAGATGAATCCTGCAGGGTAAAAAATGGTTTGATGGAGAAATATGCAAATATGGGAGTTCGTAACCAGTGAAATATTTTGAATCCGCGTTTCTCCTCAATAAGGTCGCTGGGCATTCTCGAATATCTAATGATTTCAGAATATTTTTTTTAATCGCATTTTGAATACTTGAAAGACTTGTAATAGTATGTGACATTTTTCATTGTAATTGTAATGTTGTAAATTACTGAAATTATAGAACTCAGGTAGTTCGCTGAATGTTCACACGAAATAAAAAACAGGTTTTATCAATAACCAAATTGGAATAAAAGAGTCATATGTTAAATTACATTGTGAAATATTGCTTCAATAAAAAAAAATTGAGGAATCTACCGTCGTCCTTAGGCGGACAAAAACAAACTGAGACAGCGGTGGTTCGAAAATTCTTGTCTAAACCAAATCGAATAATTCACTATTTGATTTGAAATTCCCAGCCCTAGTGGTAACCGAAAATACATTGGTGTGCGTGTTCCAAACACTGAGCATAATAACATAATTATCGAGCGCAATCCCTAGATGTCCAGAACACGTATTATAAGTCAATAGAAAATTGAAAAATATCAAACCAATGAAAAAACAGTGCTGATTGAATTTGAAATAGTTCAATCAAGCAAATTTCCTCAAAACTGCTGTAAATTCATGATATTGTTTTTTAACAGATCAATTTAGGACATATGAAACAACACAGAAGAGAGATTCTTAAATGTGCATATATATATATATATATATGTATTTAGATATCGACATTGAAAGTTGTGGACACTCAAAAAATATGCATTCGGATGTGCAATATGAATCATTCTGGTACCTTAAAAGAGGAAATTCTAGACGATTTTCCTTTCTCTACTAATGTTTGATTGGTCCATTCAATGATTGCTTTATCTCCAGCTACACCTCCTTTTTCAGTTAAACTTTCCAGAATCGATAAAGTGTATCTGTAATAAGTATTAGGGATTAGAAAACACAAAATTTCATCGTAAAGCTACAATACATCAAAGCACTGAGATGAGAGGAGCAATGAAGAAAAATCTGAGTCAAATTGAGCCATGGGTATCACAGTCACGGGTTGAGTCAATTACTGTCAAGTCATCAATTACTGATAGTTTATGACATGGATGTTCATCAAGCAGCCCGCGGGCCATAACCCGGCCCGCCAAGCTTTTCAGTGTGGCCCTTTTCAACACTCAGATTTTTCCTCATCAAACGCAAAATCCCGATCCGACAGTTCATGTTTAAAAAGGCTCACATGAGTAAAAACACATAATCTTTATTCGCTCTTGTCGCTGGGTTAAATTTTACGTTTTTTTGCCTAGTTTCTTTATTGGTGTAATGCTAAGCGATGATAGCCTCATTCTCTTCTCTTGCCTGCTGAATTTTTTGTGTAGCCCAGTTAGATGTCTAAGTTGGTTATATGGCCCACCGACAAAAAATATTGCACAACCCTGATTTATGACATCGAACCCGAGCAATTTTATTTAGGGTGATCTTTAGTCACAATGAGCCTTTGACCTAGAACTTGAATTCAATCAATTACTCCCAAGTCCTATGAGATTCAATATTCAACCCAAAATTTCGCTGTTTTATTTTCTGATTTTTTTTATTTTGACAATGTGACTGCCCATGCCACGATTATCCATAGTTTCGATTTTGCGAACTCGGTGCTCAGCCACATTTCTATACGTCGTATGGGATGCCAGTTCTGTGATTACTTTATCGGGCCTGTGTTTCAAAAATCTGAGCATTGCTCCCTTGTTCATAAATTAAAAAGCAGTATAGACAGACGCTGTGGCAGCTTGATCCGAGTAAAAGTCCATCAAGACTTTTTGTATTTATATTTACAATGTTAGTATTTCTACAAAAGAATGTATCACCATTACTTATAATCAAAAAGCATCTTACCCTCTCATAATTTGCCAAGTTAGAGAAAGCGTTCCTGTTCTTTCGCCTGTATTGAGGTCACTGCCATCAATTCCAACCAAGCTGTATTTTAAGTCTTTGCCAACCTGTACGATGCAGTTACAATTCTCGATTTTCTTCATTTTTCCACCTGTAAGACAGCATGATAATATCTTCAAATGCAATAAAGTGAAGTTAAGTGCATATATATATACTGATCATATATACTCATATATATCAGGTTCAGATGACCTAAAGTTTTAGGCAGAGTGATGGTTTTGCGGTTAAAGCGTTAGACTTAACTGTGTTGGCATTGTAGATTATGCATCTCGGGTTCAAGTCCCATGCCCGCCACTTCACCCAGGGTGCAATGAATCAGAGGAGTGCAAAAATACCTCTTCACATATCGTTAGATATCAGTGGCTGCTCATTAGGGGTCATGTTCAGAGTAAAAGACGTCCTACATAAGCGGCTGAGACTGCCGAACTGGATAACAGACAATATACTTCAATATTTCCAGTGAAATTGAGATTGTCTATTTTCAAAGTGAATTGCTTCAGTGATTCAATTTGAGAATACATGGAATGAATAAAATATTCTGAAATATTCAACTATTCAAACCAATAACTTACCAAGAGATGGGAATGGAGGATAACGGAATTTAGACGGAACGACGCCAGGTTTGACTTTTTCGAACAGCTGAGCAAACACAACTCCGTCTTTCAAATCGCTGGAAAATTTTAAAATATTTTTCATAAAAAGGTGTTTATGTTAAAGTATGTTCAGATTACTGAAGAAAATTTATTGCTGTAAAGTTTATCCATTTTTGATTGAAGACAGGTGACAAATGAGCCAAACGTAATATAGCTCAAATATAGATTTGAGAAAAGAGAAAAGCGTTTACTTCAGTATTTGCTGTGATTTTTGTGGAAATAGGCTGAATATTTTAAAAAGATAGCTTACTTGTACAATCTGTAAACTCTGGGTGAAACACCCAAACTGTTCATCCAGTTACGATAAGTCTTCTCTTCTCTAGTCTCCTCTGTAAAATGAAATTTTTTTTTTTCAAATTTTAAAACGATTACCAACATACTTTTATTGAGAGTAATAAACTATACAGATTTTAAAGACAACCCGGTGGGCACCCAGAATTTCCGCTGATACATGAGGCGGCCTGCACTTCTGTAAACCGTTGTCATTCGCGCAAAATTGCATCTATAACGACAGCATACTGCAGGAACCGGAATTACGAAACTGCAAAGTGCCAGTTCATTTTGAGCGTTGGCCGTCTCTGATTTTTTTGTGAGCGGTATACTGCCGCTAATAATTAATCATGTTCACTAAATTTCCTAAGGCTTCCCTAGTTTATGGATTAATAAGATAAAAAATGGCTTGTTCAAAAAAAGTATTTACTTCTGATTGGGGCCCGAGTGATCTCGGCATTTCGATTATCGAGGTAGTCTACGAGAAAATGGCAACAAATTGTGAAAATTGTGGTGCGTAACTAGGGTGACAGCATGACCCACAGTAGAAACTTCATCCATATCGGTCCAGCCGTTCAGACACTACAGCTAAACACACAGACAGACAGAATGACTAAGAATCCTAGAGAGATCCAAAGAAGCAAATCAATGCTATGAATAATTTTATCATATAGGTATTTCTGTGGGTACAGTGGCCTGCCTAACTGTTAAAGCGTTAGACTGTCTTGGCATTGCATGTGATAATTATTTCAAGCGAACGAGTGTTGTATTTAATATATGATAAAACAAATAAAAAGTCAAAACATTGATAGATGCCAGGACCAAAGATTCTTACCTATTAATTCTCTTTCCTCAGTTTCTTCCAAAGCAGGGAAGGTATTGAACAGATTTGCGACAAAAGCCATATTGAGTCTCGAAATTCCTTCTGCTACATCACCCTCAGTTACGAATGCCCTACATCCAATCTTATCTGCTTCGTTCAACATGTATTTCGCACGTTTCATCATACTTTCTTTGTCAGATCCAGGATGGTTCTGATGTAAAACAAAAGAGGATCATTCAAATCAATAGTCATTTTGTCTTTTTAAGAGATTTAGTTTGGCCAAAAAAGCTGTAATAGACTAGCCATCAGTGCTTTTGAAAGTAGGTAAAATATTTTAAATATAACCCTCAAAAGTTTTGCAATGGTAAAGTGTAGAAAGTAAGAAAACGAACCAAAGGGAACATCCATTAGTTATATTGATTTCAACTGTTTCATATGGTATATGATGTGTAACGATCTACTAAATTTAGGAAAGTCCTTGTCTGACCTGGGAAGTGGTTTGCATAGGATTTGAACACGATATTTTAACCAGCGATGCTTTCACAGTTACATCTAACGCTTTACCCACTAGGCCACAGGTCGGCCACCTTAAGCATTGAAAGAGCCGGTAGGCAACTTTTCCATCAAAATCAACCCTACTCGGAGCCGCAACATCTCCTCTAATGTCACTGGCTATTAAAACTTCTAGAAAACTACTTATGATGCAATAATCAAGTGCTTAAAAGAACAAACAAAATAAAATACAGTTTGAATATACCGTGACGCTGGATCCATCGCGATTGTGAACAAGAGACCATGCCCTGTTTTCGACAGACTTGAATCATCTAATGCGAAAAATTTCACCGCTAACGCCCTATAATTTGGAAAGCGCTATGATGAATCCTCAAGGATTTTAAAAACACTGTTATAACCACTTTGATTCACTGAATCCAGGGCTCCGAGGACAAAGAGCCACAGGTCGGCAATCGCTGTACTAGGCCAACACACCACTGGAAACCAAGTTCAACTCACATTAAGATTAGCAACGATCACATTATCAGCATATTCTTCGTCTTCTGGGCCAGGTTGAATTTGTTCAAGCAGACAGAGGTAAGCATACGAGTCTTTGATATCTCCGCTGAAATTTTTGATTTCTTTTCCACCATTTGGTGAATTCTTGTACTTGGAAGATTTTTCCAACTGATAATTCATCCATCTGTTGGAATATTTAATAGGAGGATTAGTTAATTTTCAAGTATGAGTTTTGTTGAAGTACACAATTCCAGCAAAACAGTTATGTGAAAGCAAATTTTATTAAGTTCTAGAAAAAAAATCTTTCCGTTTGGAGTTTTTACAGAATAACTAACTATTCCACAAAATTTAGCTCAAAAGCATGTGAAGTTAGTTTTAATTTATATTTATTAGTAGAAATTGGCTATTCAAAACCCATTCCACCAAACGATTCTAATATCAACTTATGGGGGTTGTCGTCACCAGAGCATAAATTGACATTTTTCATAGTTTTTGGGCTATCGTTTATCGTGAACATCTTTATTGATAAGAATTTTTTTGGTGTTTTTGATTAATTTTATCATGATGGACATAGTTGTTGCAATTGTTGTTTGTATTTGCCTTCAACAGATTGAATCTATATCTATAAATAAATATATTTTTAATGCTGTCATGTCAAATAAAGTAGATATATCGTATTTCAGATCGATGATTCGATTTGCTAGAAGACATAAATAGAAATCGTTTGAACATAATTCAAATTCACCAGATTTATCACTCACCTTAACAAGAGCAATTCAGGAGCCAAATTCATCAAATCTTCCAGCTCTTCACCTTCTTTCAACAGAACTGCCAGTGCTGGAATGAAAGATGAAAATTACTGACTAACAACTACCAACAATGGGTATATTTGGTATAAAGCAAAAATCATGTAAGTTAAATTTCCCGATTTTAGAAGACAAGATATTGCAATGAACATAAAATTGTTTCAGCCTACTCAGAAAATTTTTTTTGTTAAAATTCATGAAACAAGCAGTTGAATAATATTATGTTTTATCCATTTTTCAAGTATATGAAATTACACAATTTCAATTTTTTCTTATGTTCTGTTCTATTTTTTCTTGTTAGCATACCTGGGCTTCTTGTAAGATCAAAAGCAGCAAAAAGGCCAATTCTGATGACTTGCCACAGCAGACCAAGGATAAGATGAGCTTTTCCATCTTTGATGTCACTTGCACCAATATTGACGATGCTACAACCGATTGCAGAAGCAGAATTCAAAGCCAAATTCAAATTTTCCTGAAAAATAAATCAAATAACGGGATAAAGTTGGAACATCATTTGAACTTATAAAATATTAGGTTGGCTGAGAAGATAAATGTTAACACTTAAATGCATTGAAGTAATTGTACGGATAGTGTAAGAAAAAATTGGAAAAATAACTTTGCTTGCTATACTGCTGAGTGCTGACTGTAGGGCCATCTAAATCAGATCTTGTGGGTACTGTTGTGAAAAAACTTGAATATTGAGATGGAATGGCGAATGGAAATTGGTGTGGTCAACATATCCGAAAAAGTAGGTTATACATAATTCGAAATCCCTGCAACTGGTTACTGGACAAAAGTGTTTCTATTTGCAATCTGGCATTCAAGCATATATATATAGCTGATTAAAATTGAATTGGAAGGAAAAAAACAATTTTGAATGCGCAATTTTTTTGTTGTTGAAAAAATCAATATGCAATGCAAAGCTTCACGGTGACATTAATGTGAAACATACATTACCATTGGTCTAATTTCCGTGTATTTCTGATCATGGATTGAATATTTCAAGTATAAGTATATAAATAGTAGCCTATATATACCATAACAATGAGTATGCACAACAGTTCTTGACTTCATAAAAATATGAAAAAATTTTGCATGTGGGCTGTGCCAGTACGTGACATGACGTAATGAGTCACAGGCAATTAATCATCACATGCAAAATGATGCTTACTCGAGGAAGCATGACCAAGATTGCCGAAAAAGGAAATGAGCCGACTGGAAAGTTTAGTGTTGCCAGTATGTCATTAGGTCTAACGCTACCAATAATATCTTTAATAAAAAATGACATATAACAAAACAAGAGTGAATTCGAAAGTACTGTATTTCTAAGTAAATAAAAAATGTTCTATTGTTCATGTTAAATTAAGAAAAGAATAAAAGGACACGTTCTTATAATTCTAATTCCTTGTGTGACGTTATATAAATATAGACTCAATAAAATATATGACAACCGAAACTGAAATAAGGAAAAAAGGCCCATGTAGAATGATGTATTTGAATGATAGTTCCAACTTTGAATAGATTCCCAAATAAAGCTGACGTGTTTTGTCTGGTGAGATATTTCACAGAATATAGGGGAACACATGAATTGAAAAAATATTTATCAATAATTGTCATCCCCGTTTTTGAAAATTATTTTATTCACTGCACTTGGCTTGATTCTCACCAAGGTTTTTTTGTTGATATCTTTATTACATTTGCCACTTTTTGAAACCAATAACGGAATCATGATTTGATATAAGATGGCTGTAATCCAATTGATCACCATTCTCGTATTGGGAATTATTGATAGGACATTTTACGACAGCAATTCTGGATGAGTTCCATAATTATTGATTTTTAATTGGAATTTAAAATATATTTGAAACACATTTGCAAGATAATTTAAATTTATTTATTGCTTCAAATATCATATTTTAGTAGTTATTCCTGAAAGCAGTAAATTTTTTAAAATACTTTAGAATGCATCACCTTCCGTATACAAATCAATTTGTTACAGTCAAGAACAATGGCATACAATTTAATAGCCTATATGAAATTTCCCCCGTTCAGCATAACATGATAATCAATGTGCATCTACTTTTGTGTTCCCGACATAAAATTTCGATCAGGATATTCTAGATAATTTTGGCATAGTGTACATTTACCGGTGCATGGAAAAAATTCCCACCTGATCTTTGTGCATTTGAACCGCTTTTTGTTTCTTCCCTTTATTGATTGCACGTTCATCAATCGTGCCTTTCTGAGACAAGTTGATCATTTTACTAAAATAGAAAAACTTTATGAATAAATAGTTTCTACTAAAGCCATAATAGATTATTCGAATCAAGTTCATCTTGAAATTCTTGATTACAGGGATAATTTGAAATATTTCCATTTGACATTTCGATATTTCGAGCATTTTTTCACAGTAAGGTCACCGCCCTGCCCTCACTCAGAGGTGAAAGAGTTGAACTCTGGGCAAAGTTACGCCCATCGTTGGGAAGTGTAGCGAGAAATAACTGGCGGGAAGTTAGTGAAGACTCCACAACTATGATGCAATCAATTCCACAAAACTAATGTTCTTGGAATACACTTTTGGTATAAAATAACTTTTGTCTGGTGAGTACATTGACAGTAAATGGATGAGATATTAATGCCAATCGAGTCTGATGGTCAGACAAAAATAATACTGCATTTCACTATTGGAATTATGAAATGAAAAATTTGCTTGAAATTGCTTGAGTAGGCAAACAGATACAGAATATATATTCTGTGTTAATAAGTGCTAATAATTTCTGCTAACTTACAATGACTCTACTAATTTCTTTATCGAAAATTATGGATAACCTACACAATGTTGAAAAAATTACTTCAAAATAATAAATTATTCCTTATCGGCCTAACACAATGGAGATAACAAATAGGACCTCTTGTGGGGAAAAAATAATGTAAAACAAAATGACACAAAATTATTTCATATTTCGTTACAAATTATTATTAACAAACAAATAATTCCTACAAAATCTCAAATCAAAAAATATTTGTGGCTAACACTTACCAAAGAATGATACCATCAGAAAATGCAGCGCAAAATTTGTCAAAATCAGAGGTATCTATTGGAAGAATATCTTTCAGATCAGGATCTTTTTTTAGATTCTGTGAATAAAATGAAAATTATTAAGTTTATTACTAGATTCGAATACCATACCATTCCATTCAAAAAGCTCACAGATTGGGTAACATCTGATTTCTATTTGTACATGACGTGAACGGATTGCTTTATCAAATTACTAATGTGGGTGTTGTTCGTGTCGTTGTTGTTGCTCTGACAAATTTTTTTTTTCTTTCAACTACCAAAAGGTTTTTAAATTCTCAATAGTGCTTCGATTTTGGCAAGATTACAATCAAGGTGAAAGGGTGGTATTATATCCTTGATGACAACAGGTCAGTCAGTATCATAAAAATGAGAGAAATACGCATTCTCAAAAACAAATTTGTAATGTGTTGTGTGTGTATGTGCATGTTATATTAGACAGGGTAAAACAGAGAGAACAAAATCCATATTTGAAAATATAAAATAATAGTAATATCAAAAATAAAAAAAAGTTTATGTATTTCCCATACATTAAAAAACGGTGGAACGAAAAAAGACTAAAAAATAAAAAAGAGAATAATGTTTATAATTCCATAAATGGATCACAGAGCCATACACAGAACGATTTTTGTTGTGCTAACAATAGAAGTAGAAATGTGCGAATTTTTCGAACTGCAAAGCTTCAACGCGTAAAAACCAATTCACATGAACCCAGGTATATTTTATAGAAACAGACAAAATAAATTTTTCATTGATCATCGAGTAAAAAATGTAAATTCAATCAGACAGTTATACAGAAATAGGACAATAAATAATATTCATAATCAGTATTAAAAATACTCCATAGGTAAAACACACCCACTATTCAAATTTCATAACGAATAATTCATTCGTTAGTGAGTTTGTTTATTAAAAACAAACAACAACTCTCTATAAAAACTAAACCTCGATTTAATATCATAAAATAATGATTAACTAATTTTTAAACAAATCTTATCTTATTGAATAATTCGGATAATATTCAAAAAAGATGGTAAATTATATTGGATATTTTCTGAAATCCAATTTCAATCACAGATTAAAGTTTTTTTTATAATAAAGTATGTTTAGTCCAGTCTATTTAATTTGTTACACTCAGAACTGGGATTGAGTTGATCAATAGCGCTAGGTTAGGTTGGGTTCATTACTCGAGTAAAACGTTTGGATTTTCAATGCTAACATATTTATACCAACACTCCAATAGATTCAATGGTAAAATATTACTGCTTTGTACTAAATTGAACCATGATGCATATTACTAATAGCTAATCACATATCATCAAAACACTGTACAAAAATATTTGTATTTTTTATATGATCAAATGTGTGCATCATTGTAAAAAATGACTGTACACAAATAATATCATCTCCCACCAACCACCAGCTATTGGCCTTTTTCAGCCACTAAGCCTTTTCTCTGTATGTAATTATTTGGTATGAGGAAGTGCCCAGTCTGACACATGTCATAATTTTGACAATTACATTGCACATGAATGAATAGGAGTGAACTCTGCATAACCCAAATTCAATATTCCTTTTCGATTCGATCTTTTTTTTCGATTCGATATTCTATTTATTGAACTGTGAATTGATAGAAAGGTGGTTCAGACTCGTCTACCTATTATATTCTAACCTAGATAAGGTGGGGGTAGGATTTGACCCCCGAGATGTGTAATCTGCAATGCAAACGGTACAGGAATGGTCAAAACCGAATATTTCGCTATTTTTGATACATTCTGAAAAAATATTTTTAAAATTGGAATTTAGATTTTAGAAATTTAGAAAATTAGAAAATTAGAATACATTCTCAATTTTGGATGAGTTCATGTGCAAAACTACAGAAATCGCTATAATTAACGTTGATCACATCTAAAATGTCATAAATATAAAAGTCATTGTTTTTTCTGTGTTGTTTGTTATCAGTTGATATCGTACATTTGATCCGCCTGTCTGGCGTCTCTCGCTATCACTAATTTTGAATAAAAATATAACGAACTTTAAAAGGAATTCGAATATTCGATTCATACTAGACATCCACGGCCCAACATGTATAATGCCGTAAACGCTAGGATGCCCTTTAAAATCGCAGCCTTCAATAACATGGTATACCTGATTAATCCAATTCCCAAAAGCATGCATTTCTCTGGGATCATAACTGTGTTGTGTTCCTTCAACAGTGGAATGTCCTCCTCTAGTAACAATATCCTTCTTAGCTTTTACAGCAACCTTAAAGCCTTCGGCAACCGAATCACTGCATAATTCTCCATAAATCTAAATTAAAAAATACAAACATCATTATCTAAAAGAAGTTAGATTAATATGGTATACAATTTACAGACACAGCTAACTAAAAATATATAAATAAGTATTATAAATAAATAAAGAATTGTAAAGTAATAATAAATAAAAAAAAAGGTTGTACTAAGCTTACAATTTATGATGATTTAGGATAAAAAGAATTTTCTTATGTGAGAATACGACATGATATAGGCCAAAATCCCTAAAATTTTGCAGTTTTCACAATATGTTCACAAGATTTGAAAAGTTAAAGAGAGTTTCAATTATTATTTAAACATTTCTGATAATTCATGGTATTGCATCTTTTCTCGTAAAGCTTTGTTTAATAGGGAAACGAAAATTTGTACATTTTCACTCTCTGATAACAATATTAATATTTAACTAATACTGAAAATTAACAATCACCCTGATATCTATAGCATTTAACGAAAAATTCAACAATTTTCGCGGAAACAAACATGTATATTATTACAGAAATGGACAAATGAGCGAAAAATCTTTTCAAAATAATATTACATGTTTCATCAGATAAATATACTTACTTGAGCAAATTCAGCAGGACTAAGTCGATTGTCATTATTGGTGTCCAATTTACGAATAGCATCACGAATCTTAAAAAATACAGCATATTATAATCAGATGTAAATAATAAAACCACGAACCTATTTTAATATTGTTATAATAAGTCTGTGCAATTTATATGTACATTAAACCACGAAATATATTTAATATTATTATATCACGGTAGAATTATTAAACTTCATGATGACATGTTCACACAAAATGGTAAAAAAGTCATTTTATTAATATTATCCAATCACAATTTACAATTTACTCTCTTGAATAATAGGCGTTAAACAGGCTTCTAAATTCCGAAATACCTTATATTGCGCGGGGGCTTTCCCAATAGCTTCAAATGCAGCCTTTACTTCATCAATATCAAGGAAACCATTTTTGTTCTCATCTGGAAAATAAACATAAAAAGCGTGTATTTAAAAATAACTCATTATTCAATGTTAAATATTAACCATTTGACATTGAAAGACAAACTTTAAGGTCGATGGTGCCAATCGCTGGTTTCAACCATTGAAAACACAACTTGAAACTAGATACCAGGTTTGATAAGGAGTTCCAGACACATAATAACTCGTAGCCATGACATTTTAAACCAATGAAAACTGAACTCTAAAAACAATATCAAATTACCAACTTTTCTCTATTGGGGGTTTGGCGGCGATAATGAAGATTACATTTTAAACCAATACTAGCTCCATTGAACTAATCTCTCATATTCTAAAGCAGGGGTTGGCAACCTACTGCCCGGAGCAATATAACCCGGCCCGCAACGCTGCACTTAATTGTGGTAACAAAACAACCGTTTTGACAATTATATACTTTACGTAACAGAATTTATTTTGAGACACGTGTAGACTAAATTATATTATAACAAGTAAATAATTCTTGTTTAATGGCATATAGCCTATAATTTTATTATAATTAGACAAATGGCAACAAAACGTGGAAAAGTTGATGCTGAGTCCAAATGGTTTAATGGCACAGAAAATATTCAAATGATCAGTCCTCACGCGCTGCTTGAAATTTAAAAAAATGTGTGTCGATGACTTGCAACTTTTAATTTTGGCCCGCGAGCGATAAAAGGTTACCGGCCCTTGTTCTAAAGCAATACTAATGTACTAATTTATGGTAAATATTAGATTGGATAGATAAAATTGATCACCCAGTTTAGGGATGGTTAAAATGTTACGGTTGTTTGGTAAAAATGGGCTGGGCTAAACGAAGGTCATAAATTGGACATAGGACAGGCCTTTCCATGATAGCATTCCGACACGCAATCGATTTCTTTATTTTAGAAATTCGTTAAACCTCCCATAAGATGAGTAAATATTTGGTCAGTTTCCTGTTTACCGAGTAGCAAAAATCCACATAGTGGGTGAAATCATCTTTCGCAATTTATGTTTGTGCAATACACACGACTGCATTGCTGTTTAAGTGTGCGTGCCCACGCTTTACATTTCCTGTATTAGGTAAGCATGATTTGTAAGTTATGAAAAACCCTGCACACAGGCACACTGAAGCATGTTGACAAATCATCGATAGCTTACATGAAATAATAAATTATCAAATATTGACGAATAAAACATCAAACGCAGGCTAACTGGTATGTGATATGGCCAAACTTGACAGGAGCATAAGCAAATCAACATTTAATAAGCATGGATTCTGTAAAAATAGATGTTTATTTCATGCTACCTGTTTGCAGAAAGTGATGCATACAACGTCCAAAAAAACTCTTTTAAAAAACATTTTATTTTCTACTTAAATATACCAATAGAAACATGGATATGTACATGCTGAACATGTACAACTGAATTCTATTTTATCAATCCTCTCATCTCAAGAGAGAGAAACAAAGCTTCTACATTATGTATCATAAGTGCAAATGAATGAACTTACCAACTGCAAGAAAGCTTTCAATAACTTTCTCTCTGTCTTCTTTGCTTATATTAACAGATTGAAGTTGAGATTCCAATGATGAAACATAAGCGCTATCACCCATGATCTTTATTTTATTTGAATATATCTAAGCTTACAGAATGATTTATGAACTAAATGAAGTAAAAAGAAGAAACAACATGATTTACATATTTATCCTGGGGGAGAGGAAAGTTGATAAGCCAGCTTAATCATATGGCAAATCACGGACGCTCGTCTAATTACCAGTCCATGTCGAGTATTGGATTTGTCAGCCAGTTATTTATTTGAGATACATGGACTTAATGATGAAAAGAGCCGTAACCAACCTGCGGTTACGTGAACCACCCCACGGCAGCGTGGAGTCCCGCAAATTTCTAGCACATAATTATCCCAACAGGATTTAAACCTGCGAATCCATGCAGAGTAATCAGAGGTGACAAGCGTATTCCTCAATGCCCAGCACAATGTGCCACACCACTGAGACAAGAAATTGGATTATTTGACATTTTGAATGTATCAACATGTATTTTATATCAAAGATTAGAACAACATGTCTACATTGATCCACTGTTGCCCAAATTGGATTTACAAACTTGTAATGTTTATTACATCTCATTACAGTTGAAGGAAGGGATGGCGGGACTTTTGGGGTAAAGCAGACCCTAATTTACCCAATTTTCAAACACCGGTTAATGGTTATCCTATATAGGTTTGAAAAAATATAGTTCCAACTACAGCCTGATTCCGTAAAAACCAATTTTGACTATGAGGACTAAAAAGTATGCAACCCTTTTTCAATTATACTTGAAATTAATTCTAGATTATCTTGATGATTGTTTTAATATATGTTTAAAATTTAGACCCGAAGTCTGTAATACCCATACAGACTCCAGTTAGCTATTTCACTAAAAATCTGAGAACTTCAAAAAAAGGATTCAAAGCCAATAGTTCTAATCTAAACCACAACATCAACACACTCTAGTTAGCTCAACGCAATGCCAAACATAACCATTCTTTAAAATCTTAGTCATTGCTTTTGTATGTCACAACAAAGAAGAAGTAAAACCTGCTCAAATATTCTTGCTGACATTGAAAATCAAATTGAAAAGCTCATCACTGAAATATTATCACTTAGCTTATAGTATCATGACCATCATCAAAAAAAACTTGATCACAAGTTATAAATTAATATGCTTATATGAAACAAACAGATAAACACAAGCCTAGGGTATACATCATAATTAACACACGGTAAATCAAAATCTGTTTTGTCAAACAAATGAGATAGCCTACCACAGTCTGGTAAATAAGACACTAATCAGTAACTAACCTGCTGCATACCAGGCTGATACTATATTAAGGAAGTAAGATAGTAAAATAATAACCATTACTTGTATAACAAATAATAAACAGTCGCAAAACCATGAAATCGAATAATAAGTTAAAAATGGGCACACCCTCAAAAACAGAATCATGCCTCTAATTATTCTCTTAAAAATAATAAAGTGCAAGAACATCTTATTAAATACAAATACCGGTAAAATATATTATCTATAGTTCATGCACGAACACACAAACTAATAGAAAATTTTAATTATTTATATTTGTATGTCTTTTAAATGCCCTGAGGATATACTAAGTCAACACCCTTCCACTATTTACAGGTATTGAGAATGTCCCTATCTGTGAATTGCTTGTAATTGCCATATAAAGTATTGTCTGTTTGTCACATGATAGACATAATATTATTGATAAATAGAGCAGAGTTACCGACCGACCGGCCGGTATAACGTGTGAAGTCCACATGAGAAATGCTCTAATATTATGTCATAGTCTCATTTAGAAAAGTAAATACCAAAACTAAATAGCCATTTCGCCAATGATGTCTTACACACGTGAAGTACAAGCCACAAGTGTAAGCTACATCATTTACAAATGTTAATATTTTGAATAACATGACTTAATTTTCAACAACATGGTACCTAGGTATAAAGCATAAATAAAAACAGCACAAGAACTAAATTCTAGCTAGCATGGCTTAAAAACTCTAATAAATTCGAAGTTAATCATTTGGTAACATAGAAATCCTATCAATAAAATCAGATACTAGTCGTATCAGCTTTCAGTTTGAGCATACATTTAGATCTGAGCAAAACATTGACAATATCCTTTCACTAGGAAAGTTGAATCAATATTTGCACAATTTCCTTAGTCTATATAGAATTCCTATATAAACGTTTATATCATAGCGAAGCAAGACATTTGAGTATGGTATGACTATTCCATCCACAGCTTGGCTGTTTCTTCTCTCTATCAGTGACTAATAGTAAACTTCCTTCCTCTACCATATAAGGATATGAAGACTGACAGTGCATCAATTGAAAAATCCTGTCATGGCCTCGTGGGAGGCTATGAACAACTAAATATTAAACAAAAAATAAGCTAGCAAATTTTGTAATTTTTGGAGCTATAATATTGCCTATAAAGTTCAATAACACAACAGACATCTCTCAAAAGGAAATGATTTGGCCTGTTGCTACTTGCTACCTTGTGTTATGTGAATCATATTCAAGAAAGTATAAATGAGTTAAGGCGTTTAATAATTTCTATATAATAATATATATATCTCTATAATTAAATAGTTGGCTATTTTCAGAGTGAACGTGGTAAACATCTTTTTTTTTAAATCAGGATTTATATCAAATTATAATAGTATTTGAAAAAAAATCCATGATCCACTAAAAAGGAAGTCTAGATAATTATAATTTTTGAATATCTTTTTCACATAATATCAATTTTAAACACTATTTTAACCAAATTATTCAAACATTAACAAAACATTGAATGCCATTTTCAATATTTTAAAAACTGAAATTTCATATTATTGAACTATACTGCTAAGTGCTGGCAACAATGAAAAAAATAATGATTTCCAGCTTGTCTTTAGAAAACTGGAGCATTCCTATCATTGACATACTGAACTATTTCAATTGTTGATTCAAATGATTACAAGTACACAAGTATTGAGGGCACTTGTTATTGAAGATCAAAAGCAATGAACCTTTTAATAACTGATAATAATCACAAATCGGTTTCATTTGGCCACATGAGATAAATGAATAAATTAACATGGCCATACATAATCCATGTATATCTATGCTTTCCGATTCATTCATAAGCAGTGCAGAATAATAAAGTGTTATTTCCCTATTCAAATGTTGAGTACTCTTGACCTGATGCTCTGACAGTATTGGAGAAACATTATATTGATAAACAGCTTTGTCATAATGTTCATATAATCTAATGGCTAACAATTGGATTTGACCACTCCCTAACCAACAATGTGTTATAGAAAAAAGAACAAAGCATCTATCTCTTATCATAAAACATTGTTATATGAAGGTAAAAGTACTAATAAATGTGTCATAAAAAATCTTTGATCTCTTGAACATGTGGGCCTATATAAAAAATAAATTTTGGAATTTATTCAGTATTTGGCAACTTATACGGTTGTTAAACAAGCAGACCTGGGATTCAAGGTAAATCAAATATATTCAATTTTCACCAATGAATTGGTTGTTATACAATTGAACAAAAATGATCTGCAAGAAATTAATTAAATATGAATTTAACAGTGAATAATATTTTAGAAGATAGCTGTAATCAAAACTAGAAATCAGTCAACTTTGAAAATAAATTTACCAATACATTAAGTCTTCAAAAATAGCGTTTTTTTATAAAGCTTGCCAATGTTGCAAAAAAATCATAATTTATGTTAAATTTTATGAAGTTTGATCAAATCACTATCAATTCTTCAAATAGAGTATTCAGATAGAACATTCAAAATATATACATATCTTCAATTCAAAAATTTTTTATCCTAGAATACAAGAGTTTTTTTTTAGCAGAAAAGGCAATTTTGATCATGTGACAGACACTGCACGTTAACCGGACAAGCAGACAAGCATGGAGGGATTTGACACATCTACCTACTGACCTACATCAAACCAGATGCTTTCATTTCAGAGACAAATAGAGTGATTGTTTTATTGAACCAAATGTCGGGCATCTGGAATCGGGAGAACTGTGCCCTATTGTTGATGACAATTGACAATTTCATAATTTCATAGTCTGAATAAGCAGAAACTTATACATGCACAGTATGTCTTACCAGTTCGGCTCTCATTACAGCCTTGCATTATTTCATGCTTTTAGGATGAGCGCTAGATAGCTGGAATGAGCAATTCCAAACTAGTTTTATTGATATGATAATCACTATATTGCAACTAGAGTAAAAGATCCAAAAACCTTAGACATCATATTGTCAACAAACACATGACAAATTTGTATCTTTGTAAAAGACAACAAAAAAGAAACGCATTTACCACAAATAGCACGCACCACTAGAGTGTAGAATAATAATTTGTAAAATTAACTGAAGTTTTACATTTGATGGTATGGTCGTTTACAGGGTCATCTTTAGGATGAAAGACCCTCAACTAACTGACTAACTTGTACTACAAGTTGTAGTGAAATTATACAAATGTTTGAATCAGGTTTAGGTTAAATCAGGTTCAGGTTTAAATATATATACAGACTTATCTCTGTTACTATAAAACAGTACCGGTACCGGTACTGATATGACAAGTAGCCACGACACTCAGACTGTACGGGCACTAAGACTTCGATACTATTTTCTTCGATATTTAATACGGTCATAAATAAATACCTGCAACTGGGTAGGGGGTCTAGTGTAGTACCACGAGTACTTGCGTGGCACAACCATTGTTCCATATGTTATTCCAACCCCCACCTGATTACGTCATCCAAAACTTACGTCACTACGATGTCACAATCACGTCATGGACCTTGCCAAAGTACAAATGGGAGCCATCCGCGCCGACAATAACGAACTCACAAACGCCAGCAATATCTCTCATATCGGGAATGTGCGACAAAAAAACGAGAGAAATAGCTCGTTCGTCGTTGATTTCGAGTGATCGTCTCCGCGATTTGGACGCCATCCGCATATTTATGTGTTGTGACGCAAACAAGGCACTTTGTCACATTATGTTTGAGCTCCCAAAAAATGACATATAAACACCACTGTATTTATGGACACGTTAGTGGACATAACGATTG